CTTCAACCCAGAGTCTACACGCTCTGAAACTGATGGAATATATGAAGGACATGGGTCGCGAGGATATCTTTATTCGTTACGTTCATGAACTTGCCGAGGCTCAGGCTGCAGCAGGCAATTTCACTGAAGCAGGTCTTGCCCTTCAGTTCCATGCCGATCTCTACGAATGGGACCTCACCAAGCCTCTGCCGGAGCTGCTCAGACCCGCATTCCCACCTCAAAGTGCATTCGAACGAAGAGAGGCTTTGTACTTCTCCGTTATCCAGAACTTTGAAAATGCCATGGCCTGGGGCCCCGCGCTAGCTTGCTACAAGGAGCTCGCAGCGCACTACGAGCACACGACCATGGATTTCGCCAAGCTATCACGAGCTCAAAGCTCCATTGCTCGTATTTACGACTTCATCGCCAAGGGCAACAAACAATTCCCGCGTTACTTCCGTGTGGCCTATAAGGGTCTCGGATTTCCTCCTGGGCTGCGCGATAAGGAGTTCATCTTCGAGGCGTCCCCGACAGAACGCATGGCCTCTTTCGTGGATCGCATGCAGCGGGAACACCCTACTGCGCAGGTCATGTCTACTGGAGAGATTCCTGACTACGAAGGCCAGTTCCTTCAGATCAGCGGCGTCAGCGCATACCGCGATGTGTCTCATCCTGTCTACCAGCGCCCTAAGGTTCCATCCTCTGTCCGCGAGCATTTGCTGATCTCAGATCCATCTCGTTTCTCTGCTACCTCGCGACGACACACGAGCAGCTCGGATGTCCGTGAGCAATTCGTTGAAAAGCTCATTTTCACTGTCTCGGAAGCGTTTCCAAATATCCTCCGTCGTAGTGAAATTATTTCTGCTCAGGAGGTTGCTCTATCGCCTCTGCAGACTGCCATTGAGCGCACGTGGCGCAAGACACAGGAGCTTCAGCTTATTGGCCGCCGTGCTGCGTCGGGTGAGGACTCTACCCTGTCTAATCTGACTGAAGCCTTGGAATCACTGCTTGAGGTCAGATCGTCAACCTCCAACTGTGTGGCATCGTACCGTGTATTCCTATCCGAAGCGGAGCTGGCAAGGAACAAGCTGCTCGAGGAATTTGATGAAGACGCTGAAGAGGTACAAACACAACATCCTGTGGACCCGATGGAAACTGCGCTCTCCGTTGCACTTGTTGACCACGCATTGGCTATCAAATACGCACTATCTCTTTACCAGCGTCCCGCTCAGCAAGCTACCCAAGCTGAGCTACTTCGACGCTTTGAAGATGTCTTCGAGCCCGAGCTAGGTTCTCTCATCCCAGCTCCGCTGGAGTACTCATCACCTACACCCACACAAACAGCCCGCCAATCCCCCTCCTTGAGCGACAACCGCCGAATGCCACCTATCCAGCGAATCGTCAGTCCGGAACAAGACCAAAACCGCACAACGCGAGGCAATGCCCACACGCGCAAGCGCTCTGACAGACAATCCGTCAGTCACCGGATCAGCATAATCAACCCCTTCAAGCGATCCCACGGCGCCACGAACTCCATTTTCACAATCCAGCAATCCGACAGCAAGGGCCAAATTGTGGGTGAACAAGACGAAAACATCGACGACGACGCGGCGACGATCCACAGTCGCACGACTAGCCACTCCCGCGGTGGCCGAAGCGAGAGGCGCCGCAGCTTCTTCAGCGGCGACAAGACATACAAGCATGGCTCCTCGCCGTCCGTTGCCCTTGAATCCCAGACCTCATTGAACGCGCACAATGTCTCCCGCGACACGGCCCCCCGCTCCAATGACGGCCGCAGTCGCGCTGGCTCCCAGCCCCGCGGCCCTACTGCCACCGGTGCAGCCACGGACCGGGCTGCGCCCGCTTCCAGTGGTGGGTGGTCAACCCTCCCGTCCACGCGCGATTATTCACGACCTGTCACACGCGACAGCAATGCGGTGACTCTGACAACTACAAATGGAACGGCCCCGCTGTCCCCGGTGCTCAATAATAATAATACCGGGATGCGGGACTCTGTGTTGCGTCGTTTCAGTATGCTCAAGGGTGTTGGTCGCAAAGGCAGTCGGATGGATTTTAAAGCTAATGGTGCGCTGCCGGAGGAGTAATGATCATACCCCCCCCTCCTTTTTTTCTTTTTCGATTCTATCCTTTATACCTCTATTTTAGTTTTTTTGTGTCTTGACCTTCCTTTGATTTTACTTTTTTTCTTTCACTTCTTGATGTGACTTACTACCCTGATGTATTCTTTGCTTTTAACTTCTTCTTTTTTTTTGTTATGTGGACTGGGGTTCTCCTTTTACTGGTGTTAAAGAAATATACCATGTGCTATATAGTTCCAATCTACATAATTTTATTTCTCCCGACCAACTTCCAAGCTTCTTTGTATATGTACTAACCTTGAAAAGTCTAAGTCGTCAGCATCCATGGATCTCCGAAACACATCGTCCGTGCATTTGATTTTTGAATTGTGGCAGTGCAGGGTCTTGGCTTTAAGCTACAGCCAATCAAAATGCCTCTATTCCGATAATGTGGATGCCCAAGGCTAGTGGGTCGTCATCACAAAGCTCCTCTCCCCACTGACTGGGCCACACCCACCTTGGCCACCACCTCACGCTCCACTTTTCTCATTCATGCTCCTAACATCGAAAGGCTGTGCTAACCTTGATTCCACGGAAATCTCATGTTACAGTCGCTAAAGAGACGAAAAGTGGCTCAACCCCGCCAATTATTCATTTATCAAACTCTTTAGAAGCTTGGTAGCACATTATGTGTGGGTTGATATACTCCTCCCCTTCCCATCCCCTTCTTCCATTCTTCTCATCCGCTCCTTTCCGACTTTCTGTGAAAGTCCCTCAAATTTTATACCCACACATCCGTTCGGGCAACGGACATAATTCTCCAAACTAACTCCTGGAATTTTTCTATATACAGCTCTCCCAAACTTCCGCTCCCACTTCCGAAGCCACACTTTTGGGCCCCGAAGAATGAGCTCTGGCAACAACGGCTCCCTGAACGCCAATGAGCGTACAGGATTACTTGGCGCACACCGTGGCTCCTTCTCTGGTCTCGAGCCTCATGAGCACATCGAGCATGGACAGCATCACCACCACCCGAAGGATTCCCGCGTCTGGGTGCACTGGCCAATGCACGTCGTCCATCTGACATGGAAGACCGTCGTCCGTGACTACGTCAATGTCCTGCTTATCTTCGTGCCATTAGGCATCATTGCCGGTGCCCTCGGATGGGACTCAACCACTGTCTTTATCCTCAATTTCTTTGCTATTGTTCCCCTCGCTTCGCTGCTGAGCTTTGCTACCGAGGAGCTGGCTGCTACTCTGGGCCAGGCCCTTGGCGGCTTGATGAATGCCACTTTTGGAAATGCTGTTGAATTGATTGTAAGATTGCCATTCCTTAACCCCGAATTGATGCCCTCAATGCTAGCGGGTGATAGATGTCGGGGTTGAATGTAATACTAATTCGCTTTGTTTCTTCTTAGGTCAGCATCATTGCCTTGAGACAGAACCAGATTCGCGTCGTCCAGGCCAGCATGCTGGGCAGTATCTTGTCTAACATCCTGCTCGTTCTCGGCTGCTGCTTCTTCGTCGGTGGACTCCGCTACCGCGAGCAGTCTTTCAACTCCACCGTAGCATCGACTATGTCCTCGCTCATGGCTGTGGCGTCTGCTTCGCTTATCATCCCTGCTACTCTCTACGCCGCAATCTCGAATAACTCCGAACCCAAGCACGGCGGAAAGGGTGGCCACACGGACCCGGACCGCGCTGCGCAGGATAACATCCTCATCTTGTCGCACGGCACCTCCATCATCCTCCTAATCATCTACGTCATGTACCTCTACTTCCAGCTGGGTTCACACTCCGACCTCTTCGAAGAGACGAATGGCAGCGATACCGAGCACACCGCTGGCTCCGAGGAGGAGGAAGAGGAAGAGGAGCGCATCCTCAGCCCCTGGGCTGCGGCCGTTGTTCTCGTCATCGTGACTGTTCTCGTCTCCATCTGCGCCGATTACCTGGTTGATGCTATCGACCCCCTAGTCAAGACCACAGGCATGAGCAAGACCTTCATTGGACTGGTGTTGATCCCGATTGTGGGTAATGCTGCGGAACACGTTACTGCCGTTGTGGTTGCGTACAAGGATAAGATGGACCTGGCGATCGGAGTTGCTATTGGTAGCAGCTTGCAGATTGCGCTGTTTGTCACTCCCTTCTTGGTTATCCTCGGCTGGATCATGGGTATCGAGATGACTCTGCACTTCCAGACTTTCGAGACCGTTGCTTTCTTTATTTCTGGGTTGGTTGTTACTCTACTTATTCAGGACGGAAAGTCCAATTACCTTGAGGGTGGTATGTGTCTCGGCATGTACATCATTCTTGCCTTGGCGTTCTACGTCTACCCTGATAATATTACCAACTAAGTTATGGCTTGGGTTTGGGGCTTTGTTTTCGGGTGGTCGGGGTGGTCGTCTCTGTGAGACCTAGGTCTCTCTTTTGTTCATTTGATTAAGTGATGCATTGGCATCTAGCGTGTTTTGTATTATATGTCAAAACTGTTTGTCTATAGTACATTGGTAGTCAAAATTGCATGCGCGGGTATATCTCCATAAGTCTTTATAAAATTAATCGGAAAAATTAGTCAAATATGCTGTTAAAAACAAATCAATTGATGTACGTTCTATATCGACATCTATACCTTGCGGAAATATATCTACGCTAAACAACTCGAAATCACCTTTTCTGGTGATATCACACACATTGACCTAAGCAGGTGAATGGAAGCTTAGTGTCCTTCTTTAATCCTAACTCAGACTAATTATCCACCCGCATCCATGATCTCTCAATCCTGTTTCCATGAATTGCACATTTCATGACCTCACATCGAAATCCTTGGCGCTGACTAAGCCATCCCGGAAATTTGCTCGAGACCGCAAACTTCCCAAAATAGGCCGATTAATCTTGAACCCCCCTTCAATAATTGCACAGGGGCCAATTCTCACAACCGCAAACATGGCGCCTCGACTCAACCTCTTCACAGCCAACAAGGCCGTCTCGGCCCTGCGCCAATCCACCACTCCCGCACTGTCCTCCCCCCGGAGCATCGCCAGCCCCGTCCGATTCCGCGCCGTCCAGTCACTACCCATTCAGCGCCGATGGAACTCCTCGCGCGATGCTTCGAAGAAGGTCGAGCCCCAGCCCGATCAGCAGACTTACCCGACGGTCGATCAGCTGCCCGATGTGACTGAGGAGGCCAACGAGATCTCTAGAATCATGGATAAGGAAAAGCGTTGTGATGGTATTCCTTCTACTCCGGAGTTGGATCAGGGGACACCTGTTGAGGAGGTGAGAAAGAATGCATAATCCGAGGGCTTGATCAGTCTTGCGGGAGGGAAAGCCGAAATCGCTGGATATGGTTGTTAACTGTGTTTCGTGAAACAGATCCTCAGCCGCGATAAGGACGCTATGAAGCACATGCCGAAGGTTATGCGTGACGCATTGAAGAAGTCTGGTGGCTCGCGCTCTTTCTCGACTTCCGCTCGGAGCCTCATGAACGATCTGCAGGGCGTCGAGCCTAACAGCGAGGCTAACCTTATTCCTAATGTGCCTGGACTCGAGGGCGCTAGTGATGAGGCTGCTGCTGCTCTTGCTAGCATGATTGAGCAGGTTCAGGGTCAGGCTCTTGAGGAGAACCCCGGGCTTAAGTTTGATCCGCCTGCCGTCCCCGAGGACATGAAGACGTTGAACTTCCGCAAGCGCTACGATACCATGCAGGATCAGTTCACTAAGATGATGATGGAGAGTGGAAAATTGACCAAGGCCCAGAAGGTATGGTTTTCTTTTCCCCGTTTATGTCTAGTGTGAATGTGTGGAGAAAATTAACTAACTGAATATTAGAACATGGCTCTCGTTCTGGATCACCTCCGCACCGCCTCTCCTCCTCAGATTAACCCTCGTCGCCGTCTTCTAGGAGCTCCCCCTGCATCCCAGCTCCCCCTCGACCCCGTCCTCTACCTCACTCTCGTCGTCGACTCCGTGGCGCCTCTCTTCCGAATTCGTCAGCAGAAGGGTATCGCTGGTGGTGGTACTGCCGTGCAGATCCCCCACCCGCTGACTCTGCGCCAGCGCCGTCGTACTGCGATCAAGTGGATTCTTGATGCGTCGGAAAAGCGACGCGACGCGCTGTTTGCGAATCGTGTTGCAGCTGAGGTGGTGTCCGTTGCTGAGGGTCGTAGCGGTGTCTGGGAGAAGAGGGACCAGCAGCACAAGATTGGTATCTCTGGTCGTGCGAACTTGAATACTAACGTTCGTCGCTAAATTGGCCTTATCGCCTTGTATTTCTTCTATCTGGGTTTTGGGGTTTGTCTTGTATCTCTGAGCACTTCTGCATATGTACATTTATATAGTCTGGTCAAAAAAAAATTGACTCTTATTCTTCATGGGCTTATTGAATTTTCTGAGACAACTACTCCAAAAATGTTAACCCCTGGAGCTTGACATATACGGAGTTTTTAATTTGGCTTATGATCCTTCAATATCATTGTCCTATCATTGTCCTATATAGGTATGGTGGCTTAATCCCTGGTGTTACATCTTCGATAATTGGAGGCCACCTGCCCTGAATCAAACTTATTTGCAGACCTTGCATATCGATTGCTTCTATACATTAACTTCGTCTTGCTCTCTGTGATAGCTTCCTAGTGCTTTGTATAGAACATTGTCTGATAGGCCGCCCCTGGCCAAGCAGCACGCTTACCTAACATACAGCTTAGCTCGAGCGCAACTGTTTCTGGAGTTGGACGAGAAAAAAAGGCCAATACGTTCGCTATTTTACATATCTACAGCCTCGGAGTAGATTCCAACCAGATACACGATACATCTCCGATCAGTGGAGCGCCGCGTTATATCATTGCCGACTTGACCATTGCCCAGTGCAACACTAAGCTCCAGCTGACCCGGACTTTTCGACCCTCTTCGCGCCCCCACCCACGATAGAGCCCCTCCTACATTCTCCTCGGTCGTGCACCTCTCTCTACTCCTTGGATGACCTAGGCCGACTACCCTCCGGCCACCCCCCTCGACGGTGGCTCCTATCTCGCACTCCGATTCCATTGAACTTGTCGAGTACAACCCTACCTCGCACCCAGCTCCCACAAGCGCATCTGGCACTGCTCGCTCAGACCAATACCAACATAGCGCTGGGCGGTTTGACCCTGCAGCCGACTCGCAGCCGCTTGCGGACTTTGATACAGGTGGTGGAGAACCGCAGGAGAAGACATTAGAGTTTGACCAGCCTCAGGGCTCTCGCCTTCGGTTCTGGGCTGAGGCTCTCCGACGTCGCGCTCACAACGCATCGCAAGGGAACGTCGATCCTGATTCCGAAACCAAGATGAAGTTCTCACATAGTGTTCAGTTTAATGCTGTGCCCGATTGGAGTTCGAACTACATCGCGTACAGCAATTTGAAGAAATTGTAAGTTGTTCGCTTATGTCTCAGTCATTGGGCTGTGTGGATGTGATTGTGTGTACATGCAGATTCGGGGATCTGAATTGGTGTCACATTGCACAGGATCGATGCACTGGCTCGGATAATTGTTTTAATGGGTGCTAACGTTGCATCGTGACTAGGATCTACACCATTGAGAAACAGGTCAATCGCATTGAGGGACCGGCCACCACAGATGTAGAGTCTGCTCCGCTTCTGGGTGGTGCTCAACCGAGTAACCCGGATGTGATCTTTAAACGGGCTCTTGATGTTGAGATGGAGAAGATCTGTTCTTTCTATCAGAAGAAGGAGGCGGAGATTTTTGAACTCGCGGATGAGCTCATAAAAGATGCCGATCTATATATTTCCGAGACCGACGGTCTCAATATGGATCCCGTCAGCGAGACAATCATCAAGGCAAGCTCCCGCCGCAACGGTAGTACCTCGATTCCGCGTCGGCGATCTAGTGCTGTGAGCAATGACTCGCTGGCAGACGATGAAGGAGAAGCTGGCGATAGCGACGACGCCCAGTCCCCAACGACCCTCCCACAGCGCCGGAGATTGCTGCAGTCGACCGACGGCGAGTCTAACACGGATGACCAGTACGGTGATATGGTAGACTCTTCCTACTTTGGACAGTCGACTACCCGAGAACCGCACGAGTCGCACTTCAACGACGAGGATTTCCTCGCTCTTTACAATACTGGTATTTCGTTGAAGAAGCGCCTGGTTGAATGCTACGTCTCACTCTGCGAACTTCGCTCCTTCATCGAGCTGAACAAGACTGGTTTCGCCAAGGCCCTCAAGAAGTATGACAAAACCCTGGACCGCAGCCTTCGTCGAGACTACCTCGCCTCCGTCGTCCATCCTGCGACACCTTTCACCGATAGCACCATGGCTGAGATCGATCGGCACATTGAGAACGTGGAGGGTGTGTACGCAGGCATCGTAACGAAAAACAACAAGCAGTTTGCTAGACGCGAGCTGCGTCTGCATCTTCGTGAGCATGTCGTCTGGGAGCGGAATACCGTCTGGCGTGAGATGATCGAGATCGAACGTCGTGCGCAGGCCGCTAATGTTGGTATTCGCCGGACCCTCCTGGGTGGCGATGAGGACCCGGCCACTGCACGGCGCCAGGGTGATAAGAACGAGATCCGCACTCAGGAGATGTCAACGCCGCTTGGTCGGTTCCAGTTCCCGTTGTGGCTCTGCAGCTTGAGCTTTGGTACGCTGGTATTTAGTATCGCCCTCTTCGGCGCAATGCTTTCCGTAAACATAATGGAAACTCCCGAGGAGCAGAACTGCTTGGCTATGCTGGTCCTCGTTAGTATCTTGTGGGCTACTGAGGTATGAGATACTGTTTGTTTATTTGCTCACTTTCAATGCTAACATCGAGTGATAGGCTATCCCGCTGTTCGTCACTTCGCTTCTTATCCCATTCCTAGTCGTGACTCTAGGTATCATGCGGTCAGACGAGGAACCTCCCATGCGATTGGGACCCAAGGAATCAGTTGGAAAGGTGTTCGCAGCGATGTGGACTCCTGTAATTATGCTGCTTCTTGGTGGATTCTCAATCGCAGCGGCGCTGTCCAAGTACGATATTGCACGGCGCATGGCCATGTTCGTGCTGAGCAAAGCTGGATCGAAGCCATCTGTAATGCTCTTGACCAACATGTTTGTGAGCATGTTCCTGAGCATGTGGATCAGTAATGTTGCCTCTCCTGTACTCTGCTACTCGATCATCCAGCCTTTGCTGCGCAACATGCCTCCTGAGTCAGACTTCGCCAAGGCACTCGTGCTGGGTATCGCATTAGCCGCCAATGTCGGTGGTGCAGCGTCCCCGATTGCCTCACCCCAGAACATCATTGCCCTGCAGAACATGGAACCGAACATCAGCTGGGGCACGTGGTTCTTCATCGCACTCCCCGTCTGTATCATCTCCATTCTCCTCATCTGGGTTCTGCTGCTGGTAACATTCCGCCCGGGCCGCAATGCAACCGTCATGCCCATCCGCCCCGTCAAGGACCGGTGGACCGGCATGCAGTCCTTCATCAGCATCGTCACCCTCCTAACAATCGTCCTCTGGTGCTTCAGCCACCAGCTCGAACACATATTCGGCGACATGGGTGTCATCGCCATCATCCCTCTCGTCCTCTTCTTCGGCACCGGCATCCTCAACAAAGAAGACTTCAACAACTTCCTCTGGACAATCATCATTCTCGCCGCCGGTGGTCTGTGCCTTGGCAAGGCCGTCACCTCATCCGGCTTGTTGCACACAATCGCAATGGGAATCACCGCCCGCGTTGAGAACCTCAGTCTATACAGCGTTCTCTTGGTCTTCTGTTCTCTCATCCTTGTCATGGCAACCTTCATCTCGCACACCGTCGCTGCTCTTATCATCCTCCCGCTCGTCCGCCAGATCGGTGTCAGCATGGAAAACCCTCACCCCAACTTGTTGGTCATGGCCAGTGCATTGATGTGCTCTGTTGCGATGGGTTTGCCCACGAGTGGATTCCCTAATATGAGTATGTTCCTCTTTTCCTCCAGCTCACTTGTATTGAGCTATCTTGCTAACTTGTTCCTTTTAGCTGCTATCATGACCGAAGTCCCCCAAACAGGCCAGCGATATCTCCAAGTCCGCCATTTCCTCACTCGCGGCATCCCCGCCAGTCTCATGTCCTTTGTGATTGTTGTCACTCTTGGATATGGACTAATGTATGTTGCGGGCCTGTAGAGTATGGTATGATGGGATGGTCTCGTGATACTAAGAGTTGGCTGTTTGCTGTTTTTTTTTTGGGTTAGATCGGTTCATATATCCTCAGCATAAACAAAGAGAAGAGGTCATATACGGGTTGGGCATCCTACTTATTCTTTTCTTCTCCATTTGTCAATTGTTATGTTGATTACTTTTTTGTACTTATTTTTTTCTTTACTTCGTTTGGTTTTCTCATGGGATTGGATTCTTTGCATAAATGATAATAGATCACTAGATGGGCTGTCGAGAGTGTCCTAATGCACATATCTGTCTAATGGCTTCAATCAAGTATGAGAATAGTTACACCTGTCCGACTTCCTTTTTACAGAAATGGACGCCTGAATGACGTCCCGAGTCTTTCTGTGCAAGGTCTGGAAATTCCCTTTCCCTACTTTTGATCTTTACTCATACTACTTTCAACCTACACATCGCATTGAAGAGGAATAAACACAGAAGCCTAGTTCATTATTCCAATTCTCCAGACCCAGATACTTTATAAGACTAAAGGCTAAAGGTACTGTACACCGCAAAGACACCAGGACAGTTGAGGCCAGATCTAGGGAGATAACCTAGCTGCAGACAAAAATGACCAGAAAAAAGAAGATAGAAAGGAAATAGACATGAAAAATAAAAATCAACCCATGCATCGTGCATCACCGTAACATAACCCATAAACAAGTCATTGAAGGTATCCTAGACACACCCGATCACCGGTACAGGGCTCCGGGTATTCATCGAGATGAGATAGGATAAGCAGATATAGAAGTGAGGTATATACTCTTTTCTATTTGCTGAAGAGCGGCAAGATTAATTACTAGATCGTCAGTCAGTGAAATGCACCAACAGAAAATATGGAGTCAAGTTAGAACCACGGGGGAAGGGGAAGGGGAAGGGGAAGGGTTAGAATGGGATTAAGAAAAAGGGGAATACTAACAGCAAACCAATCGTCAAATCACCATGAATCTTCGCCTTGAGCTGAACCTCAATATCCAGATTCAAGTCCAACCGCAAACGAAGCTGCTCATCACGACCACCATCATCTTCCTTCTTATCCTCGCCACCACCGAGAATACCGCCAACAGCCTTGCCCGCACTACCAGTCACCCCGTTCAGGGCATTACCGGCTGTGTTCTGCACGAGCTGGCCGGCCTGGTCTACGCCACCAACGCCCGGAAGCCCGCCGAGCGGACTGCCGTTTTGTTGTTGCTGTTGTGGCTGGCGCTGGCGACGGACGCGACGCTGGGGTCTAGGCTCTGGCTCCATTTCGCTGCGGGCGATGGATTCGGTATCTGATTCTTGGGGACGGGGACGAGGTCTGCGACGACGACGTTCGGGCTTGGGTTGGGGTTCTGTTTCAGGTTCTGGCTCGGGTTCGTCTTCTTGTTGTTCGGGCTCTGGCTCAGGTTCTGAGTCTGGTTCTTGTTGTTTGGCGGGTTCTTCGGGCTTGGACTCGTCTTCTTTAGGTTGCTTGTCCTGGTCCTGGTCTTGTTCCGATGATGGAGGGGTTTGTTCTTGTTTGGCGGGAGACTTTTTGCCTAGCTTAGGAGGGGCACGTTTGGGTTTGTTGGGGGTTGTGGTTGTTGAGTCGGGATTGGGAGTGGGTGGTTGTTCTTGGTCGGACATATTGGAAATAAAAGAAGAAGGTTGTTCAGGCGGGGGAATGAGGGGAATATGAATTGATTCGAGAACGAGATATGGAAGGACAATGCGTCAGAAACGGGATAAATGAATTACTATGTAATCGTGCGTATAGTGTAATGATGTAGATTATCCAACCGTTTATATCATCAGAGGGGCCACTAGGCTTGAATAAAACCGGGCCTTGTAAACAGAATCTAGCCGCCTCCGACGTCAGATGGAAACGCTGCTGTGGTTTGGGGGTCCATCGGTGCCAGACGTCGGGCTGAGAGAGTCTGGTTCAGGAGATACTACATAAATGACGGGCTGGGGAATCCTATAATTGGAAAAAGTATGACGTCCGGGACAAGGATCAAGACGTGGAGCGCATATGGAGTAACCTTGTACTTTGTATAACATTTCCATCGGAAAATAATAGTGGCCACCGAGTTTCACGCGCCAATCAGACTGGATATCGGTGAATTTGGTGCATTGACGTTCTCCACATAAATAGATTAAGTAGACGTAAGACCCTGTGGGAAATGATATGACGCAACCCAACGTCAAGTTCTTCACAGCAAATTGCAAATTGCCTGTATAGACGAGACGAGTCAGCCAATGAGATTGATAAATGCCAAGCAGTTTTACTTGTTCCTGGTTTTTTTCCTTTTGGTTCAGGCCACGAGTCTCCCTCTGTTTCCACGGATCGTGACGGGACGAGGCGGATATCCAATTGGTCACTTGGGAGATTCCGGATATTTACTGTAGACTTTTCGCTGTGGACACGACCGTTGTGACAGGTCTAGCCAGATATTGTCCTTTGACAATGACGGTCGTGCAGTTGGAGAGAAGTTGGAGAGGAGCAGCCTCCAACGTCATATCCCGCACTTGATATGATGTCGCCGTTTACCCTTCCATGTCGAATCATATCATATCGTCCCTTTCTTCCCTTTTTGGTTTATGTTTAGGATATCCTTCTACTTTTATACCTTTTTCTTCTTTTGAAATCATATTCTTCCTACCTCTATACTCCATACTCCATACTCTATAATCTAGTCCATCACATCCATTATGGCAACCCTTGAAAAGACCAAGCAACAGCCCAAGAAGCTCCCCGTGCAAGAGGACCTCTCCGATGGTGAAGACTATGACAGCGCCGACGACTACACCGATGAGGAGGAGGAAGTACCACAAACAAAGGCCCAGAAGAAGAAACAATTGCAGAAGAAGCCACTGCAGAAACAGAAACAACCCGTTCAAGAATACGACTCCGACGAATACACGGACGAAGATGACTACGGCTCAGACGAGTACGAATACTCCGATGACGAAGCCGTGCAGCCCTACTCGAATGAAAATTCAGATTTCAAGCCCTCCGGAGGCATGGACGTCCTCCATAAGGAAGAGAAATCAATGCTGGACGAGGAAGGCATGAAGTTGAGATTGGAACTGAATCTGGAAATCGAGGTCGAGCTCAAGGCACGCATTCACGGAGACCTCACCATAGCTCTTATGTAAGTAATAACTGAGGCATGCAATCCCTCCCCCGAACCCTTTGGAGAATGTCTGCTCAAAGACCGAATTAGGAGTTGATCGCGTTTTATCAACAACAGGGCTTGATCACCCATTACCCCCAGTCTGGTTCCATTGCCAGTCCTATCACGAAGATCCAACGTCGTCACGAGTGATCCTTTTCAATGCTTCAATTGCTTCGATGCTGCTTTCCATAGAGCCATGTTTTTGATTTAATATTCCATTTGTCTGTTCAGGGTCTTTTTCTTTTTCTTTTGCAATGGTTTTCCTGGTCGGCGTGCAGGGCCAAGGGGATGCGATACACCGGAGTGTATACTGCTATGTATATTCCTTAAGCAATCACAATGGAGTTGAATTCATTTTTCTTGAAGTGCAGTAGTGCAATAGTGGTGTTAGTGAGGTGTAGTGTGTGTACGGAGTAAAGTGTCAGACACTGCGGAAACTGTGAAGCCGAGGCCCCGGTCTTGGCACTGATTTTCTACTGGCTCGTTGTGTTACCAACTCCCCTCTGACTTCGTACGGGGTGTTATTCTGTACTCGGTTCAAATCCCAATTGTTTCACTGGTTTCGCACGAATCCAGCCTGTACACCTCTCCCAATACAACCGCCACCATGTCGTCCAAAGACTTCATCATCAAGCACATGAACGCCGACCACCAAGAGTCTCTCATACTATTCCTACAAGCCTACTGCGGTATCACATCCACCCAAGCCAAAAACGCCCACCTGGAAGAACTCAGCACCTCAAACCTGATCATCACCGCTCATGGTACCCGCTACAGCGTCCCCATTGAACCCGCGATGAAGAATTACTCGGAGGCACGCGGCCGAATGGTCGCCATGCACAAGGAAAGCCTGAAGCGTCTGGGCCGCAGCGAGATTACACTCACAGAGTACCGTGCCCCGCGCGGTATCCAGGCTGTCATCTTTGTGCTGTGTGCGTTGTTCTACGTCACCTGCTTCCAGCGCAGCAACCTGCAGCCTGGCTCGGATCTCTACGAGTACTTGGAGCTCCAGCGTGTACCCTGGTTTCCGCGTCTCGTCTGCATTCTCCAGCCGTACGTCGTGGGTATTCATATCATCGAGACCGTCGCGCTGGTTGTGACTCAGTTGAAGCCCCTGAATGTGCCTGTTCTGTCGGGATTGTGGTGGAAGTGGGTTGCGTCGTGTTTCGTTGAGGGATACGGTTCGTTCTCGCGCATTAAGCAGTTCGTTAAGGAGCAGAAGGCGAAGAACGGCAAGAGCCAGTAGAGGGTAGCATTAAGCAGCCAATGGTGACGGGTGCAATTACTGGCGGAGAGTCAATCATTTGTATTTGTATGGATATCAGGTCTCAAGGACTGGAAATTGACACGATTGAAGGTTCAATGCTGTATAACGTTAGGATGTAAATGGCTTGAATGTTCAGATCGGGTACGATAGCCCCTTCCAGATCATGGATCAACGTAGTATCACGTGACTCTATACTGAGTCAGCCACAGAACATCACCTGACTGATCCAGTGACCGGTCCAGTGACTGGAGCCGCTAATCCCAATTTGGCCTAGTGTCAGTTAGGGCACTACACAAGCGAGCGACACAGTGCGCCCTGCGAAATTCAGCGACTCCACGACCTCAAACTCCCACGACAACCCTACGACAACTAATCTGTGTTTCTGGTGAAGGGCTGCACATTTAGAGGTGAGTTATCGGGCTATCTCAACTCCTGCAAGGTTTCTTTCGAAAAATTCTGTTTCGCTCGCTGCGCCCATCAATTTCGATCATCGGTATTCAATTCCTCCACATCAACTTTCGATCCTGTCTCGCTTTCAACGGTCACTCAACCACTCCACAACCACTGTCGCCAAGCTATTCGATATTTGAAGATTGATATTGTACGGCGCTCGCGACGAAACAGAAGGATTGAAAGGAAGAAAAAAAAAAGAAATCTTGTTGAAGGTCCACAATCAACAATATCTAACTTGTGTCCGTCGACTTAGACCCCTCCATCAATCGCAAACATGGGTATTTCTCGGGATTCTCGCCACAAGCGCAGCGCCACTGGTGCCAAGCGCGCTCACTACCGCAAGAAGAGGTACGATTATATCAACCCAGAATGAGGTCGAATGTTTCTTTTGGAAGGAGAGAAGAAGAAAAAAGGATTCGATATACCAGTTGCACAGATTCTTACATGTCTTTGTCCTACAGAGCGTTCGAGAAGGGCCGCCAGCCCGCCAACACCCGTATTGGCACCAAGCGCATCCACCTTGTCCGCACCCGTGGTGGCAACCAGAAGTTCCGTGGTCTCCGTCTCGAGTCCGGTAACTTCTCGTGGGGCTCCGAGGGTATCTCCCGCAAGACCCGTGTCATTGGAGTGTCCTTCCACCCCTCCAACAACGAGCTGGTCCGCACAAACACCCTGACCAAGTCCGCCGTTGTCCAGATTGACGCTGCCCCCTTCCGTCAGTGGTACGAGGCTCACTACGGTCAGCCCATCGGCCGTAGACGCCAGCAGAAGACTGAGGCTACCGAGGAGAAGAAGTCCGCCTCCGTCGCCAAGAAGCAGGCTGCCCGCTTCGCTGACTCCGGTAAGACTGAGTCCGCTATCGAGCGCCAGTTCGAGTCCGGTCGTCTGTTCGCCGTTGTTGCCTCGCGCCCCGGCCAGTCCGGCCGCTGTGACGGTTACATTCTGGAGGGTGAGGAGCTTGCTTTCTACCAGAAGGCTATCCGCAAGTAAACGAAAAAATAAAATATTCGGTTGTTGCAACGGGTGGATCGGAGTTTCAGCTATGTCATGATCAGAGCATCCACAGGATGCAATTTGTCTGTAGAGCTCTGAGCCGTCAAATCCATGGGAATTGTTCCTAGTTTCATCTCTTCGCTGGTAATTGCCTTCCTTGCGTAGTGAGATTGCGTAGTGAGGATATACCAGTATACGGAGTAGAGTACCGTCTATTGTCGACAAGCTGTGGCACGACGTACTTGGACTAAGACAGGTGATTAACATACAAGTACCATGTAGTATGAAATTTCAATTCATATTTTCTTATAGAATTTCTAATGCTTCTTTTGTAAGTGCGTTGAACCTTGGAGTGATCTCCGGGGTGCCTCCCGGGCCCGAGCTCTCATGCTTATCCATCTCTCCCCCACAGCCCAACCTTCCCTCAAACACCAAACATGTCTACCATCAAAACCCGCGTCTGCATGATATCAGACACCCATACAAGCACTCCACACCCACCCCAAAAAACCGACTATGCCTACCGCTACCCCCTCCCAAAAGCAAACATCCTCCTCCACGCCGGCGACCTCACAAAAGTGGGGTACCGCGTCGAGCACGAAGCAATGATCGCCATGCTCGCCGACGCCGACGCAGAACTCAAGCTCGTAATAGCAGGAAACCACGACATCACCCTAGACGAAGAATACTTCACAACCTTCGGCTACACCCGCCATAAGCGCCCAGAAAAACTAGGCGAAGAATCCATTCTGCTATCAGACGACAACCTCCAAACAACCCTACGCACCTCCTCAACCAAAAGCCCAAACACAGACTCCCTAAAGGAATATGTCCGCTCTATAAAATCCCTCTGGACAAGCGAAGCCGCCCAAAAAGCAGGAATAATTTACCTAGAAGAAGGAATCCATACCTTCACCCTCTCAACAGGCGCAACATTCACTCTCTATGCATCTCCATACCAACCGGAATTCTACAACTGGGCATTCGGGTATCCCCGCGACCAAGACCGCTATAACCCCGCCCCCGCTACACAGACACAACCCCAAAATCCAATCCCGGATTACCCCGCCATCGACATCCTACTAACCCACGGCCCGCCCGCCGGAGTCCTGGATCAGGTCCCGCCTGATTTGAAAGTTGGATGTGAACATCTCCTCCGAGCGGCGTGGCGCGCGAAGCCGCGACTGCATCTCTTCGGTCATATTCATGAGGGGTGGGGTGCGCAGCGTGGGGTGTGGGATGATGAGGCGGGTGGCGGTGGTGTCAAGCTTGAAGATGTGCCGACGGATGCGGAGGAGATGCTGGAGAATCGGGGCGCGTTTTATGATGTTAGTGCCGGAGCGGATCGGCCGCTGCGGGTTGGGGAGGAGACGCTTTTTGTTAATGGGAGTATTATGACGGTCAATTATCAGGCGAGAAATGCGCCGTGGGTGGTCGATTTGGAGCTTCCTGTTGCTGGGGGGTAGGTTCTGGTGTTTTGTTGTTGGGCAACTATGGACATACTACTGAACTGATAGCAGGAGGTTGGTGCTGGTGTTAAGGGAAATAAGAGAAGAGGAGAGATCCCTAAGGAGCATTGATCATTGGCGTACATTTCCACCGGTATGGGTTTTCGATTAAATATATATATCGTGAAGGGCTGTATTGTTCTATACAAAGTATAACTAAGTCTTGGGTAGTTAGTATATATAAGAAAGAGATAAGAAACTGAGTTGCATCCAGAATATATATTTACTAAGCGCTAGGATAAAAATGCATGCACCGAAATAACTATGAATTGAGCATTGCTACTTTATGAATAAAATAAGTTAGGATCAAAATAGGAATAATACTTATCTAATAATTGTCATTTCGTTCTATATATACCTAGGTACGCAGTACAGCACAAGAAATAGCTAACTATGTTGTACGAAGAAAACTCTCCGAACCTCAGTAGAACCACCCGAGAAACAGAACCAATAAAAAATCAAATCATGAGGCCAAAAAAAATCAATGAAAAGCAAATTAACCCCCCAACTCCTTACTTTAAGAAAATTTGTCTTGAATCCCCCTTTAAGGAGCACCACCGAGACCTAGAATATTCGTTAGCTTCCAGAAAAACAATCCTACTCCACCTAGAGACTCACCAGCAGCAAACGCCAGGTACCAAGTGCGCGTAGCACCGCCATCAATCCAGCTGTAGTTGAAGTTCGGCTGGGCAAAGAAATCCCACGATGCTTTGGGGTCGATGAGGGCCAGGTTGGCGTATAGCACACCCCTCCATCCGCCATCAACCTTGGAGGCCGGTGTTGAGGCATTTTCAGCGAACATCGCCTGCCATTCCTGGTGCACGAATTCCTTTCGTCGTGTGAAGGGGGTGTGTGGCATAAGGGGTAGCATGTGGATACTATGGTACTTGTTAGCGATAGTTCGGAGTGAAAGAATAGCGGGACGGTGGTGTACTTACCCCTGGACGAATTCGAGGTTTGCTCCGAAGTAGGTCGTGTGATCGACCTTGTTTTCGAATAACTGTTTCGATCCTTTAGTGTCGAGTTTGGGTCAGACATGGAATGAGGATGGCGGTACTTACGATTCCAGTGACTTTGTTTCCAGTAAAGTTTGCTGGCTGGTTGACATTGTCATCCTCCATCAAGAAATAGTTATTGAGCGACCGACCGAGGATTCCCAGCATGATATTGCCACGAGCTTCCATGCTAGCATCGCCGGTCGTCTGTCCCCACATCTTGATCGCATACGCGAACATGGTATCTTCCGAGGTGGATTCTTGGTCTTTGCCATCGAAAGACTCGAACAAACCTTTCGCCCACGAGTGGCCGTTATACCAATCGAACGAGCGCGAGAATGGGAAGTGGGGATCATCTGCAACAGAGTTACCAGCATCACGAACAAGCATGTTGACCCACTCTTTGTTCGCGGCAAGCCAGCTGGGATCAAGAGAGCCGATGATGGCGGCTGCTTGGATGAAGTAGCCATAGTGGAAGTGGTGGTCGTTGTACGCGGTGTTTCCGAAATCCTGGTTCAGGTCGCCGTTGTAGCCGGCGGTCGAGACAACGCCCTTCCAGACGGCGTCGTAGGCGAGTGGGTATTGCTGCTTGTTCTGCACGAATAGATCGAAGGATTTCTTGAGTTGTTGGAAGGCATCTGTTGCTAGATCGACGTTGTTGCCGAGCTGGTTGACCGTGTACACTAGCGTTGCGAACTTGCTCAACGCCTTGCCGCTGTAGTACATACTGTTGAGATTTGTCTGATCAGAGATGTTCTGCTTGAGCTCGTTGGGAGCAGCCTGGAGAATGGCGTGCTGGGCTGCGGCAGAAAGTTCGTGAGCACTGCCCTGGGTGGTTGACCACGGGGCAAATCCAATATTGATGGGGAGGTTCTGTTCGATCATAGTCCAGCTTTCTCCAATCACAGCAGTGGAGTTGCCCTTTGTTGTGGTGCGAAGGTGAATATCTGTGATACGGCCCTGGGTGGCATTGTCGAAGGATTGGACGTGATGAGGTAGGGCGAACATGATCAGAGGAGTACCTTTGATATCCTTCCCGGCCTTGGTCCAAGAAAGCGTGTAGCTGCCCACATTATCTGTCACAGAGCCGGAGATCTCTCCTGCCACCGGGTAGACACCAGACGAGTTGTCATAGAACTTTTCGCCAGACCTGCCCGCGGAGTTCTTCGCGACTTGAATAGTACCAGAAAAGCCCTTGGGACCCTGAAGATGGGTCTTTGAGACTAGCTTGAACATCGGATCCTCACCATTAGTAGGGGTGGCATAGGCAAGCCAGGTCGTGTCGTCCTCAAGGAAGACTTGGTACTTGAAGATGCCGGGCCTAGGCGAGCCAGCGCTGACGACCTTGCGGAAGAAAACACCACTTTCAATCAGGGGCTGCAGATCATTGTACACAGCTGTTATATAGCCCATGCCTTGCACAACGGGGAAAGTGATCTGCTGAGCTGAGCCTGGGGAGCGCTTGATCACAGCGTGGGCTGAGAAAGCCTTTGGCTGTTCGACGTTCATGATGGAAGATTGGTCAAGCTCGGTTGCAGAGAAAACCAGATGTTGGAGGCCGACTGGATTGATGTAGTACTGCACTGGGTTTCCGGGGATCTTGTTGTTTGGAGGTCCATATGCGAGCATGTGAGGCTGGATATGGGAGACACCTATACCCCAGCTCTTTAGAGAGCCGGTTCCCTTGGACCATGCCAGAGAGTAGGGCTGAGTGAAGGTTGCATTGGTCTGAGAGCCCAGGAAAAGGCCGGCGTAGAACTTATTCGTCGCAACAGGGTCTGTGGTATTGGCCTATACTGTAACGTTAGAATGTCTGATTCGGATCGTACTCGCATTTGGGTGATCATACATGCTCATTTTGCACAGGGTGGTCATTTCGAGATTTGATATTAGCAGGGACAGGACCAGTCGCAACCGGCTGAAAGATATCTTGGCCGTGCATGGTTTTGGGAGGATCTGATGCAACTGGGGGTGAAGAAGGTGTTTGAACGGGCTCTACTAAGCATCAGAATATATGCAAAGTGCCACAATAATTAATTCAATCATACCATGCGCCACAGCAGTACTTGGTTTAGCCTGCAGTGAGTCTGTCACAGATACAGCTGTAGGAATTGGTGCTGAGTGTTCAGGCTGTTTTGCTGAAGTTGTCGCCCGAGTCGTAGTCGGTGCTGGTATAGTAGTAGTATTACTAAAGGATTCTAACAAATCCCCCAAGCCGTCAATGAATCGGACAATGTCGAAATGTGGAAAAGGCTGTTGCGATGAATGGCCGTCCTGTTCCAAAGCTACTCGATACACCTAGTCCAAAATGTCAATACCATGCCATATATATGTGGACATTTCTCTGAGACATACTGGGTGGGACTCAGGAATGAGTAGTCTGTTTTCACTGTTTGAAGGTGGATATTGAGTCTTAAAAGGGCCTCCAGGCTCGGTAGCTGTGAGTTGTAGAATAGTTTCTACCTTAGTTCCCACTTGCGGGAGACTGTAGGCTATTTCTGTGGCTAGAAGCCAAGTCAGCAACCCTGTAGCCTTCCATTTAGAGCATGAGTCCATGATGCAAAGTCGGATCTCGTCACGAGTGTTAAACACGCGGAGATTGTATGAAGTCTGTGTGCTATTCCTCAATTCAATCCAATTGGATATGAATTACTTGAGGGCAGACAACTTCGGAGGGGTCCAACACGCAAAGCAAAAATGGTAAAGGAGATAAAAATGAATTTAGAGGAAAGCAAGCTTACAAGTATGTACTAGGGATTCCAGGAGACGGAGTATACCCCCTCGGAGCTCAAACACTCAGGCCCAGATTGGGACAACACACGGGCTGGTTTGTTATGAATGGCCCACAGACAGATTCCACAGATTGTCGATCTTCATAGATGTCAGTAGTGTACAGTCTTTAGCCAAGGGGAATGACGGGCGTTGGGGATCGTGTCTGGCTCAGCAATGTAGGGCGCAACAGGCAACACGTCGAGTCCGCGTGCGTTCCCCACCCCCAAGAATGTGTTCGGGAATCACTGCAACGACCATTCACTCACTGAGTTATATGGGATGGAGTCACCCGGATAATTGGTGATAAATGGGAGATGGATGTGAATATCACTCAATTTAATTGAAGATATCAAATTCAGGCAGCACTTGCCAAGAGATCACCCAAGTGGAGTAGATCACAACAAGATGGAAAAGAAAGAGAAACTTCAATATATTCAGGATCAAATTGTTAAAACACCTCGAAAATGACTCAATATGAATCATCGGACTATCCATGGATACTTTTTAGTTACTTTGATGGAATCATGGGACATGTATCAGTGGTTTTATCCAAAGTCGAAGCTAATATTCCAAGGTCGAGACATCTACGCTGTATGTCATGTCATCTACATTGTCCAGGTAACCTGTGACTGAACCTAATTACAATTCTGCGTGAGGTTATAAGTCGATGTGAAAATCTGGTTGCGAGGTGAGAGGGCGAAGTATGGGGGTTGAACTATATGAACCATATTATGCACCTGGACACCTGGAGTAGCGGGAGCATAGTAATAAGACTAGTTGGCTGCTTATGCGACTTTGTGACGTCTTTTTGGTGGTCATTCTTAAGGTCTTTTCAGATGTCTCTTTAGATGTCTTTTTTTGTAGATATTTTCCCGCTTATTGGTGTTGTAGCTAGAATATAGGAGGTGCAAACGCCTTAAAATGTACAAATCCACAATTCTATGTATAACTTTCGAGAAAAGGTGAATTATCAGGGATAACAAAATGCTTTTAATTCAAAAGGCGCCGCAAAATGGGTCGCATTAGGTGCTGACATTGAACATGGCATATGTGAAGTGAAATAAGATATTTATATTCATTGCATGGGCTTCGACATGGGCTTGATGATACCCTGCTTGATCATGACACGAGGCTTGGTGCCACTCTGGAAGCTTTCTTTCGTAGACCACTCGGGGCCCAGGGGCAACCGCAGGGACCGTTCGTACTGCTGTTTGTTCTCGAACTCGTGCGGCAACTGGCTGGCCATGTACTTCTTGTTCTAGAATAGAAAGTTAGTGAGTTGTCCATCTCAGTGTGTAGGAATAAGTCTTGGCTTACCTTCTGCACTCGCTTCTGGTTGATAATGACCCGATCAAGCTTGGCGTCCTTACGCTGATGGGGCTTCACACCCGCCACAGTAGTTAGGTCTCGCTTTTGCTTCTTCTGCTGTCTCTTGCTGACACCTTCACCAGCCCAGCTGCCCCAGCCCAGGAGTGTGTTGTCCACAACCTGGTCGCCTTCGTCTTTAATCGTGTCCATCTTGTCTTGTTCAAATTCTTGAACAACTTCATCGCCGGCAAAGGCTCTCTTCACGAGGTCGTGGTTCTTAAGCAAGACAGGCACCTTCTCCTCATCATCGCTGTCGTTCTCGTCGAATTGCTGTTTTGCGAGGGTTGCCTTGGCGTTCTTTTGCTTCTTGCTCTGTTGCTTCGCTGGGGCAACTTCGGGTTGGGTAGCATCGAGTGAAATGTCAATGCTCTCTTGGGCATCTGGGGCAGTTCGGCGGCGGTTGGTGCGTTCGGTCTGAATCAACCAAGGATTCTCCTCCTCTGCGGGGGTATCCTTTTGCTGATCAGAGGAATCGCGTGAAGATTGTGAAACCTTCTTGTTGCCGGAAGCTCCTGACTTGTGCTTGGTAGTGCCGTTGACAACAATGTCAACATCGTCGTCTGATCCTGCAGCCTGTGCAGCTTCATCATCGGAATCCAGCTTCTCCTCAAACTCATTCTTGAGCAACTGCTTTACGCCAGATTTGGCGTCGGGCTTCTTTGATTGACCGAACTTTCGTCGACCGACCTCCGACTCTGCCTCAGACAGAGACTCTTCTCCGTGCAGTTCACGGTTGATTTGGCGAAGCTCCGCATCGTTTTGTTCTTTGCGGGCGGCGTCGGCATTTTTCATGAATTTCATTTCGAAAAGGTCAGCATGGCGCCCCTTCACGCCATCACCGGCATCATTACCGCCCTCGAGAGCCTTGAGCTTCTTCTGGATCTTCTGTCTTTCCACATCGGAACCCTCCTCGTTCCAAGGGTCCTCATCTTCTGACTCGGAGCTTGAAGAGCCCAAGTAGTCATCGTCTCCATTAGAAACACGCTTGCCTTCGATTCTCTTCCGTAGCTCCTCCTCTCTTTGGGCCAAGTCGGCTGCACTGTTGCGAGCCTCCTCGTCCCAGGCAGTGCGACCGGTCTGCTTCAAGCCCTTGGCCCATTTGCTTTCACGGTGCTTGGAACCCATGCGAGCTTCGGCCCTCAAACGCTCGTTCTTCTCTTGGTCCATGTCGTCCATATCCACACCGGCTTCCATGAGTGCGTTTTGCTCCTGTTGCTCCATCTTCTCGCGCTCCTTCCGGTGAACACGGCGATAAGACTTGCTCTTGATCTTCTTGATGCGCTTGGCGCGAACTTCCTCTCTGAAAAGCAGGTCACGTCGCTTGCGGAGTTCTGCGCGCCGAGCCTGGATCTCCTCAATAGGAATATTGCGGGCCTGTAATTCTTCGAAACTCTGGATCTGGTCCTCGGCTGACTTGCCTTCAGCCTCAGCCAGTCCACTCTCGACAAGGATGTTCTGGATGGCGTTTTCGAGATCTGTCTGTGGCTTGGCAGCTTCCAAGCGGTGGGTCTGCTCAGCATCGGGATCACGTAGCGGGAAGGAAAGGTGTTCAGCTCTGCGGTTGGCTTTGACGGTTTCGAGCCATCGGTTTAAAGTCTCCTTGCTCTTCTCATAGGCAGCAGTCCGGTCAAGTCGGTCCTGTTGGCGTTTAGCCAGAGGAGCATCTAGCTTGCCGGGAATGCCCGATTTTGATGCCTGGACAACAGAGTCGATATGTTTGAGCGAGTTCTTGAGGCGGGAGTCCGTGATTGAGGGTAGGAGATCGGCGACAGTCAATTTGTTGGCGGATGTCAAGCCATATTCTGAGTGCTTGTTTTGTTCTTGTGACTTTTGAGTGCGCTTAATAGGTTTTTCGGTCTCCATAGACTGAACAAAGTCTTGTAGTTTCGAAAGTCCGTGCGGATCTGCATCGGCGTCTTCGTCTGAGATAGAAAGCTCGTCGTCGCTGGCATCGCTTTCACTGTCCCCCTCTGACCCAGAATCCTCGTCACTATCGTATTTCGCTGCCCGCTTGGCTTTCTTAGCTGCTTCCTGGGCCTCCTCCTCCTCGGCTGCTACATTCATATCCCAGGCGGTAGTGAGATCAATGGCATCTTCTCCCAGGTCATCGTCCTCATCGTAGTCTTCACCGTCAGATTCCTCATCCGACTCGTCGACATCTTCAGACAAGCTGATCTCTGTAGGCTTCTTTGGCTTGGGTGCCGCTTTCTTGGGCTGAGATTTAGACTTGGATGCGCGGAAAGTGAAGCCCTCGAATCGCTCTTCGTCGCTCTCACCGAGAGCTTCGTCGCTGTCCAATTCACTGTCGTTATCGCTGTTCACTTGTCCGAGGGTCCATTCGTGTCCTTCACTGTCGCTGCCACCATCAAGGCTTCCGGTGTCCTCGGTTCTGCGGCGTTTGTAGTGGGCAGTGGTGTCCTCCTCGTCGTTCTCGTCGTCGTCATCGCCGCCGGTGTTTCTTTTGCGGTTGAAAGTGCCATCATCATAGGCTCCAAGACGACTGCGCTTAACACCCAATCTAGTGTGAATTGTCTTCTCTGCAATAGACAGCGCATTCAGCGACCGAGTGCTTTTCCGCTTCGGTGCTGATTTCTGCGCCGAGCGGTCTTTCGGACCCTGCTTCTGAGTCTGGCTGCGAGGCATAGTGGCGTATGAGTCAAGAAATTAAATTCTTAACTAAGAAAGAAGCTTCAGATCAGTACTAAAAAAGTACCAAATGATCTGATGGCTGCTTCCAAGAGGGGTGTAGATGGCGTTGAACTTTTTTTCCCGGCAGAAAAAAAGTTCTCGGCGCGGAGATTAGCGCGACCCGTTCATTCGTCGAGTTTTGTCTCCCAACTCCCTCCGGGACAACTCGACTCGCTCTATCCCCCTTCTGTTCCAACTTTAAGGCTATAGAACTGTCGCCATCATGTTCAAGCCCACACAGCCAATGATGGTGCGTTTGCGCTTGACCACCAAGCAGGTCAATGGTGGCTACTACAAGGGAAACCGGACCGGCTCCATGGGTCACTTCGACAAGAGAGGCACATACAGGCCCGATTTGACAAAGCACCGTGTTTATATGCCTGCGGAGAAGCTTGAAATTCCCGGGAGACATTACACCGCTGAGACTGCGAAGGTGCCATTCACTGTGAGCATTCAGAACAAACTGATACCAGTTGGCTGAAATGTCTGATCTGCTAACATGGTTATAGCTCGCCCCCTTCATCACAAAACACATGCGCAAGACACCATCGAACTACGTTCAAGATATCGAGAGAAATGGCCGAAAGATTACTGTGATCAGAGGATTTGAGGGCAAGGACTATTTGGAGAAGTGGGCCGAGACCGCCGAAGCCGAAGAGGCCCGACTAGCACAACCGTACACCAAGAAGATCGAGAAGATCGAGTCCAAGCCGACGCCGCAGCTTAAGCAGACTGTTCAGATTGAGACCCAAGAGCTGGCCCAAACGCCCAAGACGCCCAAGCCCTCCAAGACCCTTTTCTAAACACCCCAAAAGACTGAAACCACATTTGTCTATGTGTTTTCAACTGAATGTGAGCGCAGAAGCTCAGGCACCTGAGAGTTCTCTCTAATCTCTATGCCAGCGGCCCAGCATACCATCCACAACCACCTTCGCTGGGCATCACTCAACAACTTCATTGATCAACCTTCTCTTCCCTGGTTGATTGAATATATCCCATGTATTATAGTCTCTACAACATCAACTTGATTTGGAACACAAAGGACCCCGATGCATCGGTGGACGTGTGCCATTTGGGATTGAGACAGGAGCAATTGTGTACTATTTTGACAAATTCTATGAATATCAGATTACCAAAAAAGTTTTACCCAGTAGTCTCTCCCCTCTTCGGGCATTTGTTTGTTGGCACATCTTTTCTCTATAATGCACTCTTTTTCTGTTTCTTTTACTCTGAAGTTGTACAAGTAATTCCATATAATTTGACATTATTCACTCTCTAAATATACCACTCACTACTCTACTCATATGTCAGCTTAAAGGCCAGAATGTTCCACCTGAGCAGTGGCAATCGAGCGAGAAAGTACCAGGTCCCGTGGATATGTGGTCTGTGCTCAAGTCCGATAAGCCCGCTATGCTCTCCCGTATCGGCACCCGACAGCGACGGCGATGTCATAGTTCTTCACCTTCGCCTTTCCTCCCCCAACGGTGATGCGGGCTTTTGTTGTTTTGCTTCTCTGCATCTAGAGGGTTTGTTTTATCTAGCCTGCTGATCATCGTTTTATCAGGCAGCTCCTGCTGCAACCATGTTTCAATCCTTCACGGGCAATTCTCGTCGCCCGCGGCAAGTGAACCTCAGTGGCCGAGCCACTAATCCCTTCGCTGCATTCCCCGGAAACTCCCCAACTAGACAAACTCCACATGCTGCAAATCCCGAGAGCGCAGTCGCCATTGCCCAACGAGAGCGAGCCCTGAGACAGCACGAGAGAGATCGACAGACCGCATCTCGCACCGTTCAGCGAGTTTGGCGGGGTCATCAGAGCAGGAAAACAACATATAAGGGCTGGAAGTCTGAATGGGATACCTTTGAGTGGGAGAGGGTTACCAGTGCCCTGGGATTTGACGATGATCGTGGCCCAACGGCGGAGCTTGAGCGTCTGGAGTGTCTAGCACGTCTTTCCGCGCCACCATATCCCACAGCGGAGCAATGTCTGGACCAGCTCAGGCTTTTGGTTCAGTTTGTGGGATTGGTGAGAAAGAAAGAGGATGTTTTACGTCTGGTATATTTCTGCAATGTCTTTGAGCAGACCTTCCATGCTCTCCCCACGATTGCTACGGAAAATGACTGGACCGAGCTGTTGAAACGGCTGGCAATCGCTATTCTCCACGCCCTCGGCTCATCAAGGGACAGTCCGACTCATGAAGCAGCAGTTCTGCCCCTCCTTCGGACGATAGTCTTCCTTGTTGACTTGATACCAAAGAAGATGGCAACAATCGCCAAACACTACTATCAAACGATGGCGTTCTTGACAAAGAACATTGGGCTTTTGGAAGGCACACTGTCGCCGGAGCGTGTCACAAATGCTGTCCTGGCTCTTTTGAGACCCATAACATCAGAAACAATGGCAGCCTACGAAGCACTTGCTATGTCGTATCTCACCATTCCAAACTTGCCCGCTTATCTTGGCAAGCTTGATGGATTGGCGCACCAAATCAACTACAAATTACTGGCGCCTGCAATCGAATCATGTATACCTCTGACCAAAGAACGCCTTTCTGCCGAAGATGTCGAGGGTATCGAGGGTCGACTTTGGCTGCTTGCATACTTGATCTTCTTTCACCGATATGCGCTTCCAGGCCAGGCCAACTTGCAAGCCCCCGACCTCGGATTCCTGAATGTGGTATCTGGGTTGCTTAATTCAACCTCTATCTATCTGACAAGGTGCTTGGAAGCGGACGAGAATGGCTCGGATCCAGTCAGGGGTCCTTATTTGGATCAGTTCGTCGCAGATCAAGTCAGTAGCCTGGTCAACCAAAGTAGTATCACTGGATTACTCTCTCGCATCAAGACATCCCACCTTTCTCACGCAGATGTATCAAGCAACGAATACAACGCCTCGAGAGAAGCCAAAGTCCTTGCTACCTATGCTCTGAACTTGCTGAGGGTGTTCCCTCGGCGTGGAGACGACATTCGAATGTGGTTATACCTGGGTTCGGCACCGTCAGCAGGTCTGACTTCTGGCCAACCAGGTGCGAAAATACCGGCAATCAAATACTTCTGGCAGGCATCAAGATCGAGTCGGATTTTCGACACCATTAGCAAGGACTCGACCCGAGTTCTTCCGTTACTGCAACTGCCAGAAGATGGGGACCAAGAGGATCAAGAGCAGGAGTGGACGATCATCCTTCTCTTTTTTGAGCTTTACACATTCCTGTTGAAAGTCATGGATGATGAAGAGTTCTTCTCGAGCGCGTCTCCATTCACGTCTTCAACAAATGTGTTATCTTCGTGGACGAAAGAGAGCGCGCTGCCCCTTAAAGATATCAAGGATATGACCGTCTTCCTGAAGAACCTCGCTTTCACCCTATATTGGAATGTTGCCGACTTGACTAAGAAAGGACCTGTTCCATCATCCGCCGTTGATCTTAGAAGTTATTTCAGCAATACGGCTCAAGTTTCTGGACCAATTGAGCGTACTGAAGTGGAGGCCAAGAAGGAAATCAATGATCTTCCTGGTGTTACAGGTATCCCACTCGACTACTTCAAAGGCTTAGTTACGGGGTTGCTCAGAATGCTGCATGAGCGAGAGTAAGTCGAAATGTGCCATTGGCTATGATGTAGGCACCCTAGCTGACACGACTTTAGTTCTCGACGCAAATTCCTCCCTCAAAATCATTGGCTAATGACAGATCGATTCGACATGGAAGGCTTTATCCCAGCCGTTGTGGCAGAAGAGGAGAAACGCCATGAATTCCAGGACGACGATGAAGAATCCGAACCTGATCTTCTTGACGATGAATACCCGGAGCCTTCTAACCTTGTTGGCAATAGCCATGCGCGGCGACTGATTCACATTCAGGCTATGCGAAATAGTCAACGAAGGCAAGCTCAAAATAACGCTCTGGCTGCCATTGCACCACGGCTAGAGATTCTTCGAAATATGCCTTTCTTCATCCCATTTGCCACGAGAGTGCAGATCTTCCGTCAATTTATATTTAGGGATCAACAGCGTCGCCGGAAGGGCTTCGTGGATCCTGAGTCTTGGCGCTTGTCTGTGGCCCAAAACGCTATGATAAATGGACCTCCTGAGGGTGCGGCGGATATCTTGGCCCGGCACCACGCCGACATCCGGCGTGAGAGTGTGTTTGAAGATGCATTCTCTCAATACTATGGCTTGGGTGACGGTCTCAAAGAGCCAATCCAGATCAGTTTCATCGACCAGTTTGGAGCAATGGAAGCTGGCATTGACGGTGGCGGTGTGACGAAGGAGTTCCTGACCAGTATCACTAGCCAAGCTTTCAAGACTGATGACCATGAGAGCATGTTTGCGGAAAATGATCACCATCTGCTGTATCCTAGCCCGACAGCGGTTGACCAACTGAAAAAGGTTCTCAGCGAGGCTGGACTCACAAGTTCAAGCCTAGAGTGGCAGGATGATGTGCGCGGTCTTCTTCGACGATATGAATTCCTCGGCCGGATCATTGGAAAGTGTCTGTACGAGGGCATCTTGGTGGATGTCAACTTTGCTCCATTCTTCCTCTTGAAGTGGGCCTTGACAGGAGGCTCGAGGTCTGCGGTGAAGGAATCTTCCTATCGTGCCAACTTGAACGATTTGAAGGACCTTGATGAGGGGTTGTACCAGGGTTTGGTGAGTAGTGTCGCCCGGCAAGCTCGGGATTGTGTTTTTTGAATCTGCAGCTGACGAAATTTGTTCCACTAGTTACAACTGAAGAATTACCCCGGAAATGTGGAAGACTTTGGTCTTGACTTCACCATTAACAACGTAATCCGGATGCCCAGTGGAGCCAACCGCACTGTCACAGCAGAGCTGAAACCAAATGGCTCACAGACCGCTGTGACAAACAAAAACAGATTGGTTTACATTTCCTACGTGGCTCGTTACCGTCTACAGTTGCAACCTGCTCTACAGACAAATGCCTTTTTGCAAGGTCTCGGCCAGATCATTCAACCCGCCTGGTTATCCATGTTCAATCAATCCGAGTTGCAAACGTTAGTGAGCGGAGACAATGCTGATATTGATGTGGAGGATCTGCGACGGAACACCCTCTACGGAGGCGTGTATGTGATTGGTGATGACAATCTAGAACACCCGACCATTGCACTGTTCTGGCAGGTTATGCACAAGATGAACAACGAAGAGCGGCAAAAGGTCATCCGGTTCGTGACGTCTACCCCTCGAGCTCCATTGCTGGGATTCAGCCACCTTCGTCCCAACTTTAGTATTAGAGACTCCAGTGAGGACCAGGAACGCTTGCCGAGTACCAGTACGTGTGTGAATCTTCTCAAGCTGCCACGGTACTCAGATGCAGAGACATTGAGGAGCAAGCTTTTGTATGCCGTGAGTTCGGGAGCAGGGTTTGATTTGAGTTGAAGGGGCTTCATGTACATTTCCGGTAGACAGTTTGCTTATGATTAATTTTTGCATGCATAGCATGGGGATATTCTTTTCCGAACCATTTTTGAATGTAAGATGTATAGAGGTATCGAATACAGATGTACTTCCAAGGTTCTCGGTCCATCCGAGGTTATACTTAATAAGCCCTTAAAGCGGCAACCCCATCCCAAATAGGACTAGTGTCCCCATCTCGTGCAGCCTCTGAGTTTTCCAGAACCAATTGCTTTTGAACGGCTCAACTTTTTTTTCTTCCCTTACAACCTCCCCCTCCATCTCCGTTCTCTCTTTCTTTAGGGAAAAGTCTTCTTTTTCTTTTCGAATACTTAATCGAAAGATACAAAATCTCAAAAAAACACGAAAAACCCAGAAAAGACTTTTTCCAGTTATCTTATCTCATCCCCGATTGTGCGGTGTGTTGTGTGGAAGATTTTCTTTCAACGCCTCCATCGTCTTCATTTTCACCTGGTTAGTCATTTTGCTTTTTGTCTTCCCTTTGACTCTCTATTGAAACCTGTATCATCTCTGCTTCTTCTCCTTCTTCACTCTCTCTCTCTCTCTCTCTTTCTCTCGCGCATGCAACACACTTCGATTCCCCCTCCCCGCTAACCCGCTGCCAGTGCTCTCTGCTCAAGTGAAATTTCTCTGAACTCTTTGTTTCGTGGATACTTTGCTGTATGGCACCCCTCCCTTTTCATTGATTCACCCCTCGTTTTCCCCATTCCCCCCTTGGTTGCTTGCCAAAGAGACTGCATCAACTGCCGTGTAACCTTATCTCATATGCCTCCTTGATTCCCCCTCCCCCTCTCCGCGATAGGCTCGGCATGCACATGCTAAAACTTTCTTTTCTCAGTGAAAACAGTCGCCATTATGTCTGCTGAAGCCCCCGCCACCGCTCCCGTCACCGACAACGTTGTCGCCGCTGCCCCTGAGGCCAATGGCACTCCCGTCGAGGCCACTTCCGAGGCCGCCGGTGATGCTGCCAACAACCAGCCCCACTCGGCTTCCCTCTACGTCGGCGAGCTTGACCCCTCTGTGACTGAGGCTATGCTCTACGAGCTCTTCTCCTCCATCGGTCAGGTCGCCTCTATCCGTGTCTGCCGTGATGCCGTCACCCGCCGCTCCCTGGGCTACGCCTACGTCAACTACAACAACACAGCTGACGGTGAGCGTGCTCTTGAGGACCTCAACTACACTCTCATCAAGGGTAAGCCTTGCCGCATCATGTGGTCCCAGCGTGACCCCGCTCTGCGCAAGACTGGCCAGGGCAACGTGTTCATCAAGAACCTCGACAACGCCATTGACAACAAGGCTCTCCACGACACCTTCGCTGCCTTCGGTAACATTCTCAGCTGCAAGGTCGCTCAGGATGAGTTCGCCAACTCCAAGGGTTACGGTTTCGTTCACTACGAGACCGCCGAAGCTGCCAACAACGCCATCAAGCACGTTAACGGTATGCTGCTGAACGACAAGAAGGTCTTCGTCGGTCACCACATCTCCAAGAAGGACCGCCAGAGCAAGTTCGAAGAGATGAAGGCCAACTTCACCAACATCTACATCAAGAACATCGATCTCGAGATCACCGATGACGAGTTCCGCGTCATGTTCGAGGCCTTCGGTGAGATCACCTCCGCCACTCTCAGCCACGACCAGGATGGCAAGAGCCGCGGTTTCGGTTTCGTTAACTACGCCAACCACGAGAGCGCCGAGGCCGCCGTGGCTGAGATGAACGAGAAGGATGTCAAGACCCAGAAGCTTTACGTTGGCCGTGCCCAGAAGAAGCACGAGCGTGAGGAGGAGCTGCGCAAGCAGTACGAGGCTGCCCGCATGGAGAAGGCCTCCAAGTACCAGGGTGTCAACCTCTACGTCAAGAACTTGACCGACGATATTGATGATGAGAAGCTCCGTGACCTCTTCACTCCTTACGGTACCATCACTTCCGCTAAGGTTATGCGTGATGCCGCTGAGCGCTCCCCCTCCCCCGAGGGTGAGGAGAAGGAGGCCGACAAGGAGACCAAGGACTCCGAGGAGAAGGAGGTGAAGACCGAGGAGACCGCTGAGGTCAAGACTGAGGAGACCACCGAGGAGAAGAAGACCGAGGAGGGCGAGGACTCTGAGGAGAAGAAGACTGAGAAGAAGGCCTTCGGTAAGAGCAAGGGCTTCGGTTTCGTCTGCTTCAGCAGCCCCGATGAGGCCTCCAAGGCCGTCACCGAGATGAACCAGCGTATGGTCAACGCCAAGCCCCTCTACGTTGCTCTCGCTCAGCGCAAGGATGTCCGCCGCAGCCAGCTTGAGGCCAGCATCCAGGCTCGCAACACCATCCGCCAGCAGCAGGCCGCTGCCGCTGCCGGTATGCCCCAGCCTGTAAGTTACAATTTTCACGATCAGTATTTGCTCAGTTACTAACCTTGACTAGTTCATGCAGCCCGCCGTCTTCTACGGTGCTGGCCAGCAGGGCTTCATGCCCCCTGGACAGCGTGGCGGTATGCCCTTCGCCCCCCAGGGCGGTATGCCCATGCCTAACATGCCCGCCGGACGTCCTCAGTACCCCGGTCCCTTCCCCCAGCAGGGTGGCCGTGGCATGCCCCCCAACCAGCAGCTTCCTCCTAACTTCCAGGGTATGCCCATGGGCATGCAGGCTCCTGGTGGTATTCCTAACGGCATGGGTTACCCTATGCCCCAGGCTTTCGGACGTGGCGGCGGTGGCCGTGGTGTTCCCGGTATGCCCATGAACATGCGTGGTGGCCCCGGTTTCGGCCGTGGTGGTCCTCAGATGGGTCGTGGTGGTGGTCGTGGCCAGCCCGCCCCTGGCGGTCAGCCCGCTGGTGGCGAGCCCGCCTCCGCCAACCAGGCTCTCCTCGCTGCTCCCCCCGCTCAGCAGAAGCAGATGCTCGGCGAGGCTCTTTACCCCAAGATCCAGGCTCAGCAACCCGAGCTTGCTGGCAAGATCACTGGTATGCTTCTTGAGATGGATAACGCTGAGCTGCTTGGCCTGTAAGTTGCACTCCGATTCTTTTTTATTATTTGTGACATGATTTGCTAACGTTCCTTCAGGCTCGATGATGAGGAGGCTCTCCGCGGCAAGGTTGATGAGGCCCTTAACGTCTACGATGAGTACATGAAGAACAAGGGTGATGGTGAGACCACCGAACCCAAGCCCCAGGAAGCCGCCAAGGAGGCCCCTGTTGAGGAGAACAAGTCTTAATTGATGTGTTCACTCTTTGTCTTCTCGGAAATCTTGGACGCACGTTTTTGACGACTTTTCCTTTCTCTTATCATTATTTGTTCCCATCTTTTACCCTTTCTACCCCTACATCTCCCTATCTCTGATCCTGATATCCCTCGGTTCGAAAAGTTTGTTCTTAGGCAGTCACCTTCCTGGTGTTTAGTTGAATGCGGTATGACATTCGGATTTTTTTTTTCCTCTTTTCCGATTTCCCTAGTACTGGCCTATTTCCTTTTGCCTCCCACTACTGGGCTATTATTGAGTGTTTCCAGGTTGGCATTGGTAAAAGTCTTTTTTTATTCTAGGCGCTGGTCGTGGTTCCTTTGACAGCCTTTTCGCTATCTTCGTTTTTTCTTTTTTTTTTACTCAGCTGGGAGGGATTTGTGAAGTTACTTGTTTCCACAGCTCTCCCTTCCTGCGTTCTGTGTCAAATAGATTTATGAATTCTCACGGAAAAATCCGGTCGTTCTTGTGCTTGCTCTCAGGTTCGAGAGAGCAGCGCTAGACAATCAATAGGATGGCCGTGGCCTATTTTGCTTCATCAAGTTCTTTCGTAGACGAGAGATGTCTTCTTATTCCCTAGACTGTCGACTATGTGGCCGCTATTGTTTGCCTTCTCCGATGACTCAGCATATTTCGATGACGCCCCGGGGTGGGTGGATGATTTCTGTGGGAATAAAATTGACCTTTATAGAGAACGCCTGGGCATCTCATTCACACGAGATGATATATACACAATGGCATCAGAATTTGTACCCGAGACATCTGAAATTGGCTCCTTGACGGCACACTCGAATGAGGACAGCCAGTTCGTCGGTAGCTCAAGTGGCGTCTATTTCATAAAGACAGTGAAGCGTGCATTCAACGACATAGATGGTCCGGGTTCATCAGAGTCAAACTTGCCCACAGCAGAGGAAACGCTCGTAGGCGCTGAAACCTCACCTCATGACAAGCACCAGCGCACCTCATCCGTCAGAGACACCGCTTCGTCCTTGGAGGTGGTTGAATCTCCCACAGAATGGACCTACGACCCATCATTGACAGCGTCTCTAGGAAAGCTACCTCCCGCAGATGTGGCCAAGGGCCTAATGATGATGTATTTCAAAGTGTGGCACCCTCTGTTCCCGTTCCTGCACGGTCCCACCTTCCTGCAGGCGATGGAGAAGGTCTACTCCAATAGAAATCAAACTCAACAGACGCAGGAACCTTGCATAGACCACCGCAGTACATGCTGGACAACTATCTTCCAATGTGTCTTCAATCTAGGCAGTCTACTAGCGCCAGACTTGGATCTACCATCTGAATCGAAGATCCAATCACCAACCAGTTTCAACTCTTTGCTCGGGACTCTCTCCTCTCGACATGATATCGTTTCCCTGCAAGCACTTCTAGCTATCCAAGTCTATCTTGTTGCTACAATGTCACTTCGGCAAGCATCGACTGTCGGGGGCTGTATCCTACGCTCGATGCTCCATGCTGGTCTCCACCGGTGTCCGTTTCGATACAAGCAACTCTCCACCCACGACCGACAACTGCGGAAGCGGGTCTTCTGGTGCGCTTATGCCATTGATAGATATCTAAGTCAGGCTTTGGGCTTGCCGCTTGGTATACAGGATTCTGATATTGATGTATGTCTCCCTGCTGCCCGGGAAATGCATTCTCCTCGAGGCCAGGCGACTCAGTCCATGAATGGTAGCTCCGCGCCACAGCACGGTAATAAAGAAGACCAAGGCAAGGAAAGTGTTCTTGCTAGCTACGTTGACTCGGGAACTCTGACGGGCCGGGCATTGGAGCTTTTTCATAAATCGATATTGGTTCGATCCGTTCGTCGCAGTTCGGTGTTGTTCCTTGTGACGGACGTGCACAAGTGGTGGAATAGTCTTCCCACCGAACTGCAAAGAAAACCGGCGGTATTTGAACAAAGGGTGGGATCTGTGATGACAGATACTGCGTTTGATTTTGCTCCTTTTTTCACTGTGCTGTATCAGCATCTCATTCTGATCATTCATCGGCCTTCGCTGTCGCTGGATCCATCAACTGCGGAATTCTGCTCTGGGTTGCAAACTTGCATCGGGGCTGCCCGGGCTATCCTATCGGCGCTCGGGTTGCAAGTTGATAGCCGGCAGGCTTTGTTCTGGCCCGGCTTTTTGTCGGCTGCGTGGATGTCTGGGTTGGTTTTGGCTTTGGCTTGTCAACTTAACCAATATGTGTTGACAAAGGGTCTTCAGTACGTGATGTGTTTCTGTTTCCTGCGTGATCTTCAATTGATTACTGTCTACTAACTACACGATAGGGAGATTGAAGAGTTTTCCGAGTTCCTACGTTTGATGTCCACTCAATGGGAGACAGCCAAACACTGCCACATGTCGCTTTCAGTGCTAGCCACGAAAATCCAACGGTCAGAAAGCGGCTCTGATCCAAGAGCAAACTCTCAGGCATACGTAACAAGGGGCTCTGAGGGAAGCCCGACACTTGCGGAATCTTTGACTGCACGCGAGGAGAACAGAAGGAGACTTGGTCGCCTGTCGCACTTGCAAGAAGAACCTTGCCTATCGGCAGAGCCGTCGCAGACCGAGCAGCGGAATAACGTATGGGGGGATTCTATCCACAGGGGACATGATCCCGTGGTAGCTCCTTCGGTGTCGATGCATCCGTCACAAACGAACGAACAGGGCATCCTCGCCGATACACCCTCTTCACTGCAGATGGATTTACAGGAGACCAATTCCACACAGTTTGAGGGGATATCGAATTTCGACTTGAACATGGCTGATTTAATCGAGGGCGCTGACTTCGACACTCTGTTCGATATGATCGGGCAGCAATTCCCAAGCTTCTAAGACCTCTACTACATACACACTACTGATTGAAAAACACAAACCATTCTACAATCTAACGACGACTCTACTTGGATAATACAGAAGACAACCCAAAAATAATGCATATCATACCATTCACGCAGCGGGTATGTATATTTCTCTCAAACGCTCATCATGTATCATGAAATTCCCCATTGGGGCCATAAGCCCACCCTCAGCATCATCAACCCCGATCCTGCACCTCACGCCGGAAAAGCAAAGCCCGATTGATACGCACTCTCCCATTCCGAATCTCCTGGCAATAGTAGTCAGCCTGCAGTTCCGCAGCCGCGAGAATAGACGCCTTGTTGGAATGGTAGTCTCCGGGCACCTTGATAGAGACGCACAGGGGGTAGTCATGATGCTTAGCGTGGACGGAGATGGAAGCGGTGCTTGTTCGGATGTAAGCTGCGACTGTGCGCATGAGGGTCTCGTCGTCGGAGTCGGAGTCCCGCGCCTTGATGAAGACGTTCACCCAGTTGCTGACTTGGCGTGGGTCGTACTCGGGTTCTGGGATTAGCTCCCCATCGAAGTAGAACATGCTCTGCATCTTTCCCGGGTTGGAGGTGAGGATTCCAATATCTTGAATGTGGGAATCGGGGGTGGGTTGCTTACCTTGTGGTTTGTTTGTGGTGTTGTGACTGGCTGGGAGGAAAGGTGGAAGATGGGAAGGAGGTGGGTTTCGAGTTCGGGTTTGGGATTATATAGGCTCTGTTTATATACTCTTCTATTGTTTGTAGTTGGCTCAGGAGCCTGCATAGGTAAGAACAAAGGAGGTATAATACAATGCTATTTTCAAGGCTTTCATCTATTCCAGGATGGCTTTGTCCTTCTGTATTTATTGAGGTCTTGAGGAATCTCCCAGCAGATTGAGGTCTGCCTAGTTCATGACTCGAAAGGAATCTGTGTATCATTTCTGCCTACTCTATTGTGACAATGGATATTTGTTGAGCTTGAAAATACTTTAGGTGTCCTTAGTATGCTCTTTCGACCAGCAAGAATAACAGAATACAAGACGATGATATCATGATATACGGTCTCAGAATCTCAGACGCAAATCCCAAACACCGTATCCCAAAAATTCATCTCCGAAAAAGCAGAGACCTATTAATATGAACCGACCCCAAAGCAACCTCCGCTTGAAGATATTCCGCCGATAGCTCTGCAGCAGCAAGAATCGACTCCTCATCATCATGTTCTCCAGGCACCTGGATCGAGATACAGAGCGGGATATCGTGATGCATGGCATGGCCAGTGATACTGACGACTCTTGTGCGGATGCAAGTGATGACTGTGCGCATTATGGCGAGGTCGTCGCATCTGTAGTCGCGTGCGTTGAAGAATACGTTCACCCACTTTGTTCTTCGAGGGCTATATTCGGGTTCTTGGATTAATCTTCCGTTTTGGTAGAACATCCCTTGGAGATTGTTAGTTAGTTGGATTGAGTCGTGGATGAAGGGAGTGACCTTCTATCTTTTGACGATAATGAATGGAAAGTTGAGTTTGTGTATGGATGGGTTCGAGTGGTCGAGTGGATTTGGCCTGCTTGAAGGCCTTTCTGAGTGACTGTGAAGTCCTGATACAGGGTAGGTGCTAAGGCCGTTTAAATGTTGGACTCTTAAGACAGGAGCTTACTGATCTTGTTTCTACTTCTTATATATGAGGGAAACAGGTGTCATATCGCTATAATGACATTTTCGGGCTCCTTAGTTCATGGCCTCCTGATCTGTTTCGTCTTGTGCGAGATGGCTTTGAGGTTCTCTTTATGAATATTCATACACATGACAGGAAAGTGATCTTCTGGACTATTCTCAAGAATATATTGCCCATTGCTCAAAAGGAAAGTGTCTTCTATAGGTCAACTTCTATAATCATCATTTTGTACTTTATGTCCATTGATATTCAATGCATGGTCAACTGATCAATTCATCTAAGGTGTATTTCAGATGACATGAGATGGAAAGACAAAGAAACAAAGAATAGAAGGAAAAAAGAAGGAAAGACAATGAATTGTCTCAGATCTTCTTTCACAACTTCTCAACCTCCAAACAAACCGCATCCACAACCCCTTGAGTGTCAGATGTCCCCCCAAGATCAGGGGTCAGAATCCCCTTGGCACAAACCCGTTCCACACAACCCATCAACTGCGCCGCAGCATCCTCCTCCCCAATCCAAATCAACATCTCCGCCGCCGACCAAAAAGTAGCCACCGGATTTGCAACCCCCTTCCCCGTAATATCAAAAGCACTACCATGAACAGGCTCAAAGATCGACGGATTCTTGCGCGTCGGATCCAGATTACTAGAAGGCGCAACACCAATCGACCCAGCCAACGCAGCAGCAAGATCCGACAAAATATCCATATGCAAGTTCGTTCCGACGATCGTATCAATCGACTCCGGCTTCACAACCATCCGAACAGTCATCGCGTCAACAAGCATCTTATCCCAGCTGACATCCGGGAAGTCCTTTGCCACAAGTGCGGCAACTTCATCCCACAATACCATCCCGTTGCGCATGGAATTGCTCTTCGTGACGACGGTTAGGAGCTTACGCGGCCGAGACCGCGCTGTCTCAAATGCGAAGCGCATAATCCGCTCGATGCCGACCCGTGTGAATAGCGCTACTTCTGTCGCTGCTTCCCATTGCTGTCCGACGTGGGACCGTCCGCCTTGGCCTGCGTACTCACCTTCGGAGTTCTCGCGTACGAGCATCCAGTCGATGCCGTTGGTTGCTGTGTTGAGGGGGCATTTGGTTCCTGGGAAGGTGCGGACTGGTCGGACGTTGGCGTATAGTTGGAGTGGGCCGCGCAGGGCGAGGAGAAGACCCCAGAGTGAGATGTGATCGGGGACATCTGTTGTTATTAATATTGCTGTTTACTTGTCGGGTGGTTGGTATGATGCTGTATAGTATAGAGTACATACCAGGTGATCCAACGGAACCGAATAGTATAGCATCGTACTGGCGTAGAGTGTCGAGGTAGCCTTCAGATACATATCGTCCGGTTTGTTTGTAGTACTCGGTTCCCCATGGGATATGTTCAAAGTCGATGTTGAATGTACCAAGAGTCTTTGCGAGTTTCTCGATGACTTGGATAGTAGCGCTGACTACCTCAGGGCCAATGCCATCGCCTGGGATAGAGGCAATGCGGTATGAATTCTTTGAAGTCATATTGAAGAAAGATATATGTGTAGAACTAGAGAAGATGTAATGAGTATTTCCAGAGAATAAGATGCGGATAAATGTCCAGACTATATACAAAACATGTCTGCGATTAAAGACGGTTGATAGTTCACCCTCTGCCATATACACATTTTGACCAAATGGCCGCTATAACACAGCCAGGAACTGTCGGTAGAACTTTCAGGCGATGGGATCTGCCGGTCGCCACTGCTACCACTCTCTCCTCAACACTTGAATCTACCACACAAGAAAATAAAATGCCATCGAAATCAAAGGCAAAAACACCAGCGCGTATAACAATCGCATGCAACGCATGTCGATCAAGAAAACAAAAATGCAGCGGCCGAAAACCTATTTGCGAACAATGTCTCGAGAACAATCGACCGTGCAACTGGCCCGAACAGCTTCGAAGAGGACCAGAGAAAGGATATGCCGAAGCACTGGAGAACCGACTCCAGCTCACTGAAAGCATTCTCTTAAATTTACTCCCACATATCTCGGACGAGCAGCTTTCGGCTGCGATTCCTCGTCGAGCGAATAGCGGCGCGTATGTGCCATTTCCCAGGCTTGAGAAGAGGGGAATGGAGAGTTGGTCGGAGTTCCCTCTTGATACTTCTCATAGTATTCGGAGGTGGCAGCAAGCTTGCACTGAGTCTGAAAGCATGGGTGTAGAGACACAGGGCTCAAAGAGAAGGCGTTTGCAGAATGAAAGGCCTTATGACTCGATTCAAATGTCCACTGCAATTCGAGAGATTGATGGAACTGTCAATGAAACATCGGGTCATTCGGTCCTCGAGTCGTCAGGTAATGCACATGAAGAGAGTGCTCCGGTGGAGAGAATGAGCTCTTGGCAGGGAGCCCCTTCGTTCGAGTTTCAACGCCAGTTTCTTTGGTGAAAACAGAAGAAGGGTTCTTGCTTCAAGTTTGTTACATATTGTTTGAAATACCCCATTTTGCCCTGTAGCCCACAAGATCAGCCAATGAAGATGAATCCTGAACCGCAACCCGATTTTATGTCGTAGTCAACTAATCATATGAAATATTGTGTTCGTACTCACCCTCATCTATTTCTGATGAATGCCAGTAATTGAGTGAGACAAGACAAAAATCCCCGTGAGGCAACAAGCATGTTAGAAAAAGACAGAAGAATTATAAGTAAAACAGATAGAAATGGCCTTGTACGATACGTATGAAAGGCAGCCCAAACTACCTTTGACTCCCTTTTTTTTAAAAAAAAAAAAAAAAGAAGAAAAAAAATAAACACCCTTGAATGGGCGAGGGACCAAAGATTAAGTCAGATATTGTTAGGGTTTGCATCTTTGCTTTGTTCTAAATCTCTGATTTCTTTCCACTTTTGATGAAGAGGAGGGTCGAGCGGCGAGCATGTTTAACATCTGAAGCGGGGGGTCGGCAGAGGACCCCACCCTTCCGCATTCCCTGCCTGGGCTATCGCCGCGGGGGATGTACTATTTAGGGGTTACTCTTCTACATATAGGACTGTCTACGGCTCACTTTTCCCTCATTTGAATGTGAACTAACTTCGGGAAACGCGTCTACGAATAGATAATACCTGTTCTCGGAGATTACATCTAGTTGATTCTGTTTGCAGGTCTTAAAGGTTCAAATTGTAGTTTGACCTGAACCCTGTAGATATGGTACATTTCTCATCTCACCGCTTCTTGACATCTACAGAGGTTTACATCTGGAAGTCAGAGCATAGGGCCATCAAAGATTCACTGATATCAAGCAAGTTTGGCACATGGAAAGGGAAGCAAAAATTCCATTTTAAATATGAAATTAGAGTCATTCAGCAGAATTAAGTGATCTTGAATATGCTGAGTTTGATTTCCTTACTACAGGCGGTTTCACTTCAAGATGAAATTCAACAATAACTGCGCCGCTATTATACAGTTCCCACTGCCCGGCACTATCATGTTTCCCGAAGAAAAATTCCGCAATGGATCTCTATCATGCTATTTCTCTTGGACAAAACTGCAGATAAAATCCAATTCCAGTACCCTCTATTTCTCGCTGGGCAGAAACAACAGAGTCTCCCTCGGTACTAGGTCCTATTATTATTATAGACTAGATCCCCTACAAGGGAAGTATGGATTATCTTCTTTAGATGCCAGGACGCTAGGCAGGATAACGGCCAGTACTTAATCTGGACCTTAAGCGGGTTAGGCTAGAAGATCTTTGAGGTGCTAAAAAAAGCAAAACTAACTTGGCACAGGAGAGACAAGATAGAATTAACTTGGTTGCGGTTTCGGACACTATATCCCAATTACAGCAATAAGATGGATATCGTGGGTCTACTAGGACTCCGCGAATAACTCCCCCCCTTCGTCTCTCAATCTCTCCTTCTGTTTCTGTCACCCACCTATGACCCGAACCCAGCGTAATTCGGCCTTCAGAGGATAAAGGGTGTCAGTCTTGCAAGTGTGAGAGGTGTCGGCCTGTTGAGGTATACGGCGCAGAAATCAAAAGAGCGCTGTATAGTCGCAACTCTCGTATTTTCAAGACTGGCATGCAACGATGAAGCAAAAGTAGAGATATCGGTGGCGGCGGCAGGTGGGGGATACTTGTTGAGCTTGAATTTCCAACATTATGTTGGAGAAATTCTGTGATATTGTCAATTAAATGATCAGCTTTCTTTACTCAAAGTACTGACCATAAGGGTTGTTTAAGCCCAGTGATAATTCCATAAAGAATAATGGTGCTTTTTTGATTCATCCAAAACCACGCTCCTCCATTCAGTGGAGGTGGGCGGTTTTGTTGGTTGGCCCAGAAAATAGGGCAATGCCAGGGGCGGTTTAGGTGAGCGGTTTGACAACAGTTGTGTATCCTATAATTAGATACAAGTTAGCTGGGCCGCTCGCGGTAGAGTCGATGGTAACCTACGGTTTCCAATTTGTGGAGAATAGTGTCTAGGAGACTCTACCGGTGCGAGCCCTCCTCTTAGGTTGGTGGTGTCTTGACTTTGGCACCAAGTCTGTCGCTTTCCACGAATCTTGGGGGCGTTCAGAATCACAATTTCATTGGCAACATTTTAGCGTGCATAAAAGCAAGCAATCAAGTCCAAAGAAGTTCTTCGAATTCAGTGACTGGATAATTGAAAGCTAGGATGAGGATGAGGAGGAAGCGTGGAAGGTGGAAGGTGGAAGCTTGTTGTGGATAATTAAGTGACATGTTCACGCGTGTGACGTGAGATATGTGCTAGACATGTGCAAACAAACAAAATCAGAAAAGCACATTGGTGCCTATTGAATGGATAGACAGCTTCAGGGAAGATGCCCTGCATCTAAAGTCTAGCCTCTTTCCCAGAATTAAAATTAATTTTTTCCCCAGTAAGTAAACTAGATTGCAAAGCCGAGCCAATAACAACCGCTTTGACCGAACTTGAAAGCGACACTGGTGCGGTTGTGTTATCCAAGCAACAAGAAGTGAACTCATTAGCTTCCGTAAGAAAAGCCTCTCTGAAACGCTCATAGTAATGCTTGGGAAGATCACGTCTGGCACCCTGGCCATCATGAATCTCAAGGTGGTTCTTCTGGCCTTGCATATTGACTCTGAGTGACCCCTTCTCGCAGATGATCTCAGTTGTATCTTCCTGTCCAGCAGCCATCATACGTGAGCAGAAAAGGGTAGCAATCTTGCCGCCATCAAACTCGACCGTAGCTACCGCGTTGTCACGATCCTTGCTTGAATCCAATTCAGTGTGGACGGCAGTGACTCCAACAGCCTGCAGGCTTTTGATATTGGTGTTCTCACCAAGGAACCACAGCATCAAGTCGATGTCGTGGATGGAGCAGTCGAGGAAGATTCCGCCGCTCGTCTTGGCGTACTGCACGAATGTCCCAGTAGTGTTGAGCATATCTGCGGTCTGGGATCTGAAGACTACTGGTCGGCCATGTTGGCCCGAGACCATTCTCTCATGGGCTTCTCGGTAGGAAGCATCAAACCGGCGCGAGAAACCGCACATGACTTTCTGGTTAGGGTGTGTTTTTAGAGATGTGTTATATGCGTCGAGAACGGATTGAGCCTGTTGAAATTAGCATGTGTCTCCACATTTGGTCTTTGGAAACACCTACAATCTTGATGTCAAGAGACAAAGGCTTCTCGCACATGACGTGCAATCCTTTCTTGATAGCAGCAATAGTATGATCTGCGTGGACTGCAGTAATACCAGCAACTACTACGGCATCCAAGTTTTCTTTCTCGAGCATTTCATAGTAGTCTTTATAAATTCTTGCTCCTGTAAGGTTTTCTGCTGCCCATTTGTGCTCGTTGAGATCAGGTGAGCTTGCTGCTACCACCTCAGCACGAGGAGTGAAAACATGGTAGTTCAATGCATGTCGTTGGCCTATTATGTGTCAATTAAAGACCTTGGCAGAGTCCGATTTGGGAATAATGCTTACCCATTCGGCCAAGACCGGCGATACCGACGCGCAACTTTGGGGCCGACATCTTGAGAGGAATAAATGTGTTATGTAGATGTGTTATAGGAGATTGTTAAATAATAAAGACCTTCAAACTGCTTTCCAGGGGTAGTCGCTTTAATAATAGCTCAGCCGGGGTTATATACACGATCGTTATTTGGGGTGGATACAAACAAGGCTTGGCCGGGAAAGGGAATCCGAGTGGAACTAAGGCTTGCTAACCAGTAGCACTACTGCATTTGCAAGAAGTACCACTGAAGCTATCTTATTACTGAACCTGTTTTGCTATGTTTTCTGCACATCTTTTAGTGCATCTGAGAAGGGCCGATGTCAAGGTAGGCAGAAGCCTCTTGGGTCCAATATAAAGAAATTTTGTATTTTATTAAGTGAATGAAAAAACTCAGATTGGAAAACTGCATTAAAAATCTGTTAAATAGACTCTTCGATGATATTTAAGATACTCTGTGGTGTCTTAGACAAAAGCGCTTTGCTCTAGTTGAGGCTTGGCCATTACCCCACAAAGTTTAAAGATACTATTGAATGCATTCTGAAGTTGGCTCCGAGAAGTATACCGGTGAAGATATTTATCTATACAACATAAAGGGACCTTCGGATTCCAGCATAAGCCACAATTGCACAGTGCTCAGTGCCAAGGTGGTAGATAGTATGCAATAACGTTGGTTCCACCAACTTGTTAAGAGAAAGCAGTAGCGGATCCAAGAAGAGCCCTGCGCAATGTTTGTTGCTTGCTTTTTTGCACTTGTAGATCGGCGGTAATGGCTTTGATTGCTGGACTTGGGATTCATGGTTCACAGAGATCAATCTTCCGATTTCGTGTTCGGTTTATATTAGTATTTATGTTCAATAAAATCTACTCTATGTGATAGGACTGCGCGTTAAACTAATTAGTCCTTAAAAATCTGGAGTGTTGCAGAAAACATGGAGTGTACATCCATGTGCAACCCCCCACATCGGGTTATGATTCCCGTAAAGGTTGTCTATTCCTAATTAGGTTAGATCCAACCTCGGTTATATCAGCGATTGGTGCAGCCCCGGATGAAGGAACGAAAATTAGACGACACCTCCTTCACCAACGATGCCGTCTATCACGCTACCTGATGTCATTCATCCTTTACACATACGAGTCTTCCCCGCTTAATGTTTTAGAATCACAAATGCGTGAATTGACAGGTGGTCCTTTTCGTAGAGCCAATAAACGACAGTGGAAACTTTGGAAGTTATAGTTCGGATTAAACATTTCCCCTTCAACATTACCCCGCACTGCACTTAGATCTTTCAAGCCACCCTCTATATTGCCAATGGGCTCAGATATTGCAAACGCATCGTCTCATGGCAGCAGAAGAACGAGAAAAATATGACAAAGCCCAATGTCCCCCCAAAGAGGAGGAATCATGCCTCCATGGCATGCGTATCATGTCGGGAGAGTAAAGTCAAGGTGACATATCAATTAGCTGGATGGAAAATACACGAAGCTAATCCCAGCAGTGTGATGGCGGTAAGCCTAAATGCTCCAGCTGCATGAACAAGCACCGCGAATGTCAATACCAGGCCGTAGACAAGCGAAAGTAAGTGGCCGCTAAGGTCATTTCATAAGAAAGGTCTGTTGGTTAGATAATAGCGCTGATTATATGAAGGCTCCCACTCCGTGTTGCTATAGAGCTTCTATCAAGCAGAGTTGAGCAGCTCTGTCTCTATATCCGTGAAAGTGGATTGGAGGTCCCGCCTATGCCGCAAGAAAGGGACACAGCGTTGGCTAACGTCCTTGATCTTCTTGGCTTGACTGAAGTTCATTCAGCCGCAAGAAACAATCACGCTACCAGCAAATCCTCTAACCCCAAGTCCCCATCCGCAAGCGATGATCTGCCTTTTGATGCACCCCCTTCTGTGCCATTCTCCGCTCCTGGTATAACAAATGATTCAAAGAGCACTTTGGCTCAGACACCAACAGCTCCGGGAAACACATCGCAAATATTTCAACCGAGTTTCACAATGTTTTCGGACCCTCATGCCGTGTCGACACTGCCCATGGTCCTTGATACTGAAGATCTGGATATCTCCCTTGCAGAACAATATCCACCCGCAGATGATCACTCGGATAATTCATTGACCAACTGGGACTGGACTTTAGATTTTGAGACATGCATTACACCACCATCTCCAGAAATTCAAGGCATTGACACAGAACCACTACAGCCGCCAGTGGAGCAATTGGAGAGGCAGGCAGAGCCTTTTGAGCCTGCCGTCGTTCAAACCCCGCTCAGCCTCGACAATGATACCAGGAGCACGGAAGAAATTGAAGATCTTATTGACGAGCTTTCTGATCGCATGGGCACATTGCGCTTTGGGCCTGGAGGGAAAGCTCGCTTCTATGGCCCTACATCGACCTTCAACCTTGCCGATGCCCCAGTATCCATCAACAGTCAGACACATCGGGCGGTCAATTATCTCGACGACGCAGACTACGACAGACAAGTCCCATTATCTCTCGAGGAGCATCTTCTTAATCTATATTTTACCTGGCAAGATCCATCGTTCCACGTCGTCGACCGAGAAATGTTCGAGAAAGGCAAGATAGCCTGGGATGGGAAAGAAGAGACCCCGTTCTATTCCGAGGCACTCTGCTATGCAATGTAAGTTTATTTCAACTCGACAATCTGGACATATATAATAACATTTGCAAACAGGTGCTCTCTTGGTGCTGCTTTTGAAACCCGTTATCATCCATCCTTTGTGACATACCCGAAATCACTCGGTGAATTCTTCGGGGACCGTGCAAAAGAGCTTCTTGAAATTGAACTAGACTCTCCATGCGTGTCAACAGTCCAAGCATTAGTTATCCTTAGCAGCCATGAAATTGGGGTGGGCTCAGATACACGTGGGTGGCTCTACAGTGGTAAGTTCTGTGGCAAGTTGCTGGTTTGCCTAGCTTACAATTCCTAGGGATGGCTCTTCGACTTGCTTTTGATCTTGCCCTGCACATTGACCTGTCTACATATGTTGCTCGTGGGTCCGTTACCGCTGCCGACGCTGAGCTGCGTCGAACCGTCTTTTGGGCTGCGTATATGGTGGATCAGTGAGTTCTTGCGTTGTTCTCATATGCGCTCAGGATATCTCTAAACTGTTGAACTTCTAGTCTTGTCGGCTTCTACCTTGGTAGACCTTTTTACACCAACATGGAGGATGTTACGGTCAAAAAGCCGAACAATGACGTCCAGTATCGAAAACCTTGCAAATGGACGCCCTACGCTTCTCCCATTCCATTTGAACATGATTCGGAATTATTTGACTACGTTGGGGCTGTCAGTCAACAGGAAGTCTCATTATGTGAGCTTATGGCGCCCTGTGGCTACTTTCTGTAAGCTTTCGTTCCCGTTTATCGTCTCTCCTTGGCAGCATCGGTTGGGCCCGAGTGAGTTTCCTTGGCTAACCTTGTGAAAAAGGTATGGAACATCAGTTATTCCAAGAGCCTTGCTCCAGCAGCTCAATGAGAATAATGTTGCCAAGCTTCTCAATTGGAAAGCTCAGTTGCCCTCAATTTTACAAATTAACCTCAACGATCATACGTCTCCTTATCTTCCGCATGTGTTGCTACTTCAGTGAGTTTTTATTAGTTTCTTTCAGAAGTCTCAAGGAAAAGGTATGCTAACTCATCTGAAAGCATGCAATATTACCAAAATCTCATCTACACCCATCGACCATGGATGTCAAAAGGCTACCTGCAACCACAGCCCCCGAAGGGACCTGGCTCCACCCACGCTCGAGAGATGTGCATCAATTCCGCCGTTTCCATTGCCAAGATCCTTATATTGTATGAGACCAGATATACTCTCCGCCGCATAAACATCAAAGCAGTGTCGATCACCTCCTCCGCCGTACTCCTACTTCTCTTCGCCGCCGTTTCCCAATACCAAACCGAAGGAGGAGAGAATATCATCGCCCATTTGAGTACCTGTTTCAGGGCCCTCGAAGAGTTCTCCCTATCTTGGCAGAGTGCTAATCGCGCTAAAGACCTTCTGGTTAGACTACAGCATAAATGGGAGGTTCGCACACGTGCTACCAAGCCGGACCGCGGGCCTGATGGGGCCGGATACCCACCAAGAAAACGATCACGAACACTTAATGGGTCTGACGCCATGATCCCTAATCATAGGAGGCTTATAAATACACAGCCTGAGACGCCCTGGCATGATGTCCAATTGGAGTCTGGGCTAGGCTGGATGCTTATGCTCAGCGGTCAGCTTGTGTCAAATGGGGATGAAGATATCTATTCATTCGTCGGGAATACGGTCATCCCCGAATAAGAACACGAAATTCATTAGACATATCCAAAATTTCAATTAATTTTCTTTCGCATGGATTGTGGGAAAAAAAAGCTTCAATTTGTTGATAAATGGTTAAACGGAGCCCCCTACCTCAAAGTTGAGTGGCGCGTTTTTAAGAGTTGGGCCGAGGTTCTGCCATACTACTCAGCCACTTAATCAATTATAGTTTACATAGTAAGCAGCCTTGCATTAATTTTCTTCACAAATAATTGCTTATTGGGCCTTCTTGGCTTCGTTATGTAGTCCACACGTTTCTCCTATCCTCGTCGATCCTGATGTCGCCCCACAGTTGCCCCTTATCCTAACGCTGATCAGCACTGCTAGTTTCACGACCAAGGCCATATCTGGCGATCTGGTGACCTAGGTAGGTATTCCGTATCCCAAGCCTATCTCGGGACTATTTCGGAGCTTGTCTCGTGGGATAGTGGGGCCGGTGTGGATCCAGGAATGACCTCGGGGTCGCAATCGGAGAATCAGTCCTCTTGCTCTATGCTATATGCTGTACAACAACCAGAAGCTGTCGTGGTGATGAAACAGTTGACGATGAAGATCTTTGCTGGGAGATAAATCACATGTGACAGGACTGACTTAGGTTTGTTAGGTGTTTACATGTAGAGTGCAGGTACTTACAGTCTTACTGCATTGTGTCGAAATTGGTAAGTACAACCAAAGAGATCTCAGGAGCGATGCCTAAATTAGGAAGGCGGACCTCAAATTTCATCCAGGCCAGTGGGGAGGTGGGTCGCTATAGCACAACCCTAAATGAAGCTAAATGAGTACATACATATCAAAAGTTACAGCGGTACGGAGTACTATTGACTTGGTTTATTTAAGCAAGCCTCAAATAAGTAACATGACCATCATACGGTATCCGGATACGGAGTACTCCGTACTCCGTAGATCTATTTCAAATAGAATGCCAAGTCCGCACCATCTCCTCTTTCCCACGCTAGTTCTCCATTTCCAAGATATGAAGCCGGATCCGAGCTGTTGTTGTACCGGATATCAAATTCTTCACCCCGAATATTCTCAATAGCCTCTATTCTCAAGTTAGTACATCATAAGACATTTCTACCATGCCAATCGTCAAACTTGCCATTGTAATGTAATACACTACCTAGATACATCGCCGTAACAGCTTGTCTGTTGTTATACCAAGCATCAGCCCTTGCCCCAAATGGGGCGTTCTAGACCCGCTTGCGCACGACGGTTGTAGTTTCGAACAGCGGAATCGTTTACTACTACGGACCTGTTCAGTTAGTTAGAGATTATCTATCTAATCTCACACAATACTCACTTGATATCCTCCCGTGCTATCTTCTTCGTCCATTTCAGCATGTAATTGGCAGTCCAGCTGATCATCTGCGGCACGCTGCCATGGCCAATGGGACAGTTGGGCCCATTGAACATGAAGTAGTTTGCTATTCCGCCGCCGGCGCAGATAGAGAAGTATGCCTCGGGTGTCTCCTTCCACTCCACATCCAGCCGTCAGCCTTCTCGAGCAGCCAGCTCCCACCCGGGAACGAAGCTAGTCTCAAAGCCAGTCGCGCAGACAATCCAGTCAAACTCTTCTTCACCCGCTGCCGTGCGAATGTCGGCCTTGGTAATCTTATCAATGCCTTCAAAGCACCATTCGGCATTTGGCTGCTGTAGTGCCTCGAGATATCCACCACCGGCGTTCAGTCTGCGACATCCAATTTCAAACTTCGGGATAAGTTTGTCAGTAAGGTCAGGGTTCTCACTGAGATGCTGGCGCATAAGCCCCGAAATTGCATCAACATCAAATAGCAATTTATTATGCTCTGCGCCACATAACATCAGTCGATAGACGGTGTGAACACTTCTCATAATTAGTCTGATTTAATTTAAAAAAAAGCAGTCAGTAACCTGCGAGCAGTCGACCCGTTTCCTGTACTCCAGGGATTCTTGGGGATCTTCTCGGAACTTCGCTTTTCTCTTCTTCGCTATATTCGAAGTTGGTTCCCATTCCATCCTTCGTGATATCTGGACAGAGATTGACCAACACCCAGGTCGGATGGCGAATGTAATTGACAATTCTGGCAGCCTTGGAATGGAGCGCAGGAACAACTTGGAATACCAGATGAGCCATTGCCAAGGACTGCTATCTTCTCATTGGTCCAGTCGTACGCCTTGTCCCAAGCAGCTGTGTGAACAAGCTTTCCAGTAAATTGGTTCAACCCGGCGATGCCCGGCATCTTCCATTGATTGAGAATACCAGAGCCATTGGTAAGAAAGTCTGCTTCATCGTGTATGATCTTGTCATTCTGTTTCAGCTCGAGCGCCCATTTGCATCGCTCCTGATTCCAAATAGACTTGACGAGCTTGGTATCAAATACGATCGGTTCTTTCAATCCATACTTGTCTACCGTATCGACAATGCATTTATCAATCTCGGCACCATCGGCATCGCATTTGGACCAGTTTGGATTAGGCTCGAATGGAAAGATATAGCTGTGCGCAGGAACATCGCATCCGACGCCGGGAGCCTCCAACCTCCCAGTTCTTTTCGTAGATTATAAAATTCACGAAATGAAGTGGATGCTCTTGTTTCAGTTAATCTGTAATAATCATGCTAGAGAAACTGCACCTATGCAGATGACTCGGAGTTTGCGCTCTTTAAGAGCATATTGACCGGGGTCGATATTGACAGTCTCACTGTAAAGGAATTCGTTGGACGCCATGGTGGATGTTGCGCATCAGTGGAGGTTTTGTTTTTTCCCTATCTGTCTCTTATCCCACTTTTCACCGTTGTAAAAAAAGCGGAAGACTTCCGGGCCTAATAAATTACTCCGAACTCAGGGGTTGGCCCCATACCTTTAGTGTTGAGACAGTAGTACATATTAGCGTTGACCGGGGTTTGAATTAGACCCGAATCCTTCTCTGTGAGGATTTGCAGCCACGTCATAGGCCGATATCATTTGATGGGTTTCATCCAAGACGGGAAGTGGAGGCCCGAATGATATTGTCCACGCGCGGTATTGGGGCCGTTTCTTGGCCAGGTATTTCAAAGCGTGTGAAGAGATTTAAAGTATGTAAGTATGTAAGTATGAAATTCTTAATTTGGGATTCAATTAAAAGCTAGGTCCTCCTGTGTTCACCTTATTTTCATCGGGTGTGACTCTTTCAATAAATTTTCTATATGGCGCTGGATGAGCCTCCATCTAAGACGGATGTATCCGCCAATCACGGACCATTGCAAATTGGTCCTGTGATCGCAACCTATGTCATTGCGGTGATAGTCGTCTTGCTTCGGTTTTACACAAGATTTCAGGTGCAATCTGTGCGAATACTTGCAGATGATTGGATGATCGTGGTTGCCTTGGTATGTTGTCAAAGAAAAGAGAAGGAATCTGTCGACAACTGAGCTATGTTTCTAACAGATATCTATACAGCTGGCTGTGACCGCAGGCTTCGCTTTGATTGTGGTTGGTATGTGTACATCAAACGGCGTAAAGCGATCTCAATTCTGACTTGTTGATAGTAAGTGGAAATCCCAGTCTTGGGAGGCATATATGGGTCGTCCCTGGAATCGAGGTCGAGAACATGATGCGCATCCTTTTCGCCTTCGTCCTGCTCTACGTGCTCAGCACTCCTCTCATTAAAATATCTATCCTCCTCTTCTACCGCCGTATCTTCGGCATGACCTTGTCAATCTGGTTCTGTATGTTTCTGTCCGTTGGATATTTTCTCTCTGGCACGGTCGCCTTTCTGGTTTGCTGCAGACCAGTTTCGTACTACTGGACACAGTTTACAGAACCCAGTGGAGGAAAATGTGTCTACGACCTCTACAATTTCTATATCGCCTATGCTGGGGTGAATGTAATCACAGATATATCTATCTTGATGGTTCCAATCCCTATTGTGTGGAAGTTGCAAATGCGAAGGACACAGAAATTCTTAGTATGCGGCATCCTTTTGATAGGAGGAATGTATGTCACCTCCCAAGCCAAGTGTATTTGGCCCAAGCTCATATTTCCTAGTGTCTGCATTGCAAGCCTCGTTCGAATTTATTACATAACGTTCATCCGATCCCACGACTACACCTGGGTCATCGGCAACGTCTTCATCTGGTCCAGCATTGAGCCCGCCATTGGCATCTTATGCGCCTGCCTTCCAACATTACATCCACTGATCCGCTCCGTTGTAACTCGCGTGTTTGGCACCAGCTCGGCGAGGTATACTGGGTCAAAGAATAAGGATGCAACGAATAAAAGAACATTTATTCGCAGACAACGGCCACTCGATTGGGACGAGACCTTGTTGACTACACATGACATACAAGTCGAGATGAGCGGAGTCAGGAGGGATCATGGCGCGGATGGGCAAATTGTAGTGGACATGGATTTTCGAATCGTCGAAGAGAATAATCAATTGAGTAAACCTTAAACGGGTAAAGCATTACCCGGGAAATGGTTTACCCGCTAAGGCATACATTTTGGTGCCCATTTTCTCAGGTATTTACCTTCCTAATACAGTCAAGTCAACCTTGGGGCATGCTGACTAATATATGTTTCCCCTCCAGGGTTCCCTCAGAGCAGGCCTCGAGGGCTACATGTACCATAATCATCCATATTTCCGGGAGCGCCGTGATGGTGTTAAAAAAATGTTCCATCTGTTCGCGGGTGTTCAAAAAAACCGAACATTATAAGAGACATGAGCGGTCGCGTTAGTCACATCGAACCCCTGCAAGAGCTATAATCTAACATGCAAAAACAGACACCAAGGAGCGCCCATATGAATGCAATGTCTGCCACAAGCGTTTCTCTCGAAGGTAAATACCGTTGAAGGCGCATGTGAATTGTAACAATATTCAAAGTCTTATGTTCGAATCCCTAAATTTGATGAGCATACAGCGATGTCTTAAGCCGACATGCCAAAGGCCATATTCAAGCCGATGCAACAGCCGGTCCATCGGAAACGCCAAATCGACAGCCATCAGTAATTGCGGGTGCATCATCAATGATCCCCGGATCAGGAAATAGTCTCATCAGCACAGAAGCACAGATTCCACCTCAATCTACCACTTCGCGAGATGCTCTCACATCAACTGGGTTCCCATCGTCACTAGATTACCTAGCCGACATTTCAGTCCACCATGGCCGCCCCCAGTCAGACCTTGGAGTGATGACGATGGACGACCAGCAGCAGTACTTTGGATGGAATGCAGTCACGGCTGCAGATCAGGTGTCGCACCGAGCTGGCTTGGCCTTTGATCCTGGGCCAAAAGACATGCTACAAATGTGGCTTGAACCTCGCACGGATTCAGGGTCAAACGACTCGCTAGATATGATGCGCGATAGCCATTTCCCTCTGATGGGTGACAATTTGATGATTACGCCGGACCAGCAGAATCGACATTCAGTTGACAGCAGCGATGACATTCCCAATGAACGCTTTGCTAGAGTCCAGCAGTGCTGGCTAGCACCACCGAACACTGGGCGTCTTATCAACAGTTTATGGCGGGATATCGCAATGTCGCCTGTTGATAATATCTTCTCCGTCCGGTCATCACACCTTCCCAGCGAGCCAAGTGTCGCTCAAGGATCGCGGTGTGGATTCGATGAGGATTGCAGACGGCGTCTGCAGGCGGCTTTTGGACCGATGAATGTTTCTACACATATGCATTCCCCCATAAATAGGAACATTCCTCCAGCCACGCCTACCTCGACCTTGAATCATTCTGATTTTCCTCCTGCTGAGATCTTGGATATGGCACTCGACTTATTCTTCCGTCTCTTTAATCCCCTCTTGCCGTTTGTTCATCAACCTACTTTTTCGGCAAAGAAGGCGCGACCATCTCTCTTATATGTCATGACGCTGGTTGGCATGACATTGCTTGGCACCAAAGGAACAACTGCGTTTGTGTCCAGAAATTTCTCCGTAGGTCAAATATTTCTAAGTGTGTCGTATATGCAGGCAGCTTACCGACAGTCATTAGGGCGCTTTGGACAAGGTCACGGCTGAATTTGCTCGATGCTCAATGGGACTTGAGAGCGCTTCCGGCACTATGACATTATTTGCGACAGTTTTACTATTATTAAACCTGGCCGGTTTGACCGGGGTATGAGTCCCTCAGCCTGAATTCGCTAGACTCGGGGTACTAATTGATGTCATTTTGCAGGAAAAGGCACATCTAGAACAGTGCCAACCTCTTTATATCAATGTCATGTCTGTAAGTTTTAAGGCAACTTTCTTTCCCTCTGTCACTATTCTTCTAATAACAAATACTGCAGGTCGCGCAAAGACATGGCTTATTCTCAGCCACTGAAGGACAGATCCTTGACATGACTTTGTTCGAAACAGTTCCCGATATTGATGTGAGATGGAAAGCCTGGAGCAAGGTCGAGTCGACCAAGAGGTATGCTGCAATTCCCGCTCATACAACACAACACACCACTAATAATCTTCCCAAGAATAATCATCGGACTACTTCTCCTGGACTCTTGGTACTCCTCATTCCTCTCAACGGGTCCAATCACAGTCCCAGACTCGATCCAGCTCATCCTCCCTTGCAGCGAATCCCTCTTCTGTGCCCACTCCTCTACCCAATGGACACACCTAATCCGCAGCGGCGAGCGTATCCTCTCATCAACAATTCTCGCCCCATCCGAAAACATCAAAGTCCCCGCCCTAGAAGCCCCCACAGATGACTTCTATCTACAAGCAATACTAGCAATAATCCAACTTCGCCAGTCAGAATCATACCACCGCCTCCTCTCCAACAGAGCCAGCTACCCCTTTGCTCCATGTCACACCTATGCCATGGACGGACGAGCCAGGTGTCTCCCCTCCCTCCAATCCCAGCTCATCACAAACTACGGCGAAACCCTGGACCGCCTAAACCCCAACGCTCTCATTACATGGCACAATATGTGCATGACTCTCACAGCCGATATCCAAATATTCGACCTTGCAGCTGGCCGTGCAGGCCCGGCTCCCGCGCGCAAGGCCTTTGATGACCTCCGCGAGTGGTCACAGACACCTGCAGCCAGACGCGCGTGTCTGCACGCTGCGCATATCTACAAAGTCATGACAAACCGCAAAGCTTCTGATCATCCCACGTTCCAATCTATGTGCTCGCTGTTCTCGGCCGGATTAGTTCTCGGTCTGTATACGTTTATGCTGTCGGACTCTACGAGTTCACCGTCTAGTGTCGGGTCTGTGGAGTTGATGGATGATGTCGATTGGAGATCGGTGGGGACGGAGGGGTTCACGAGCTTCATGGAGCCTAGGGGAAGTCAGACTCTCGCGCCGACGGATGATCCTGCTATTAGCTTCATTCGAAATGGGGCTACTGTCTACTTGCGAGGGCTGCCGCTTCATGGTGGGTATCAGTCTGCGCGTCGAATCATGCTTGATTATGCCTCCCTTCTCAAGGACTCTGGGAAGTGGAGTGTCAAGCAGTTCTCTTATATTTTATACATAATGAGTGATGTTCTTATGGATGTCGAGTAATAATGTCTTAATGACAAAAGAAATCTATTCTAGCGGTTTGATTGTCCTTTGTTTTTCGTTTGTTCGATACGTTCATATTGATATATTAAGGTAAAAATAATCGGGGCCTAAATCATGGAGTAAGTGCGCGTCCAGCACAGTGATCTGTAATTATCAAGTCTGGACAGCCCTCCAGCGCTGGGGTTGGCCTCGGGATAATGTCCGGTCAGTCAGCCCGTGAGGGTCCTGAGGTGCCCACCCGGGTGAGTTTAGGAGAGCCGCAAGGTCAACCCCGCTCGGTGAGTCGGGGTTGACCTTCCCAATCTTCATTAGGGCCCTGTTAGGATTGGATTTAGGGAACTTAGGGACTCAGTTTCTATCTATCCATGGATTTGACGATGTTGTATTTATATGAGCAGAATTTTAAGAGCTTGGGGAGTCCCCCTTAGCATTTTATGAGTCTCTCGGCTAATCTCCAGCTAATAGCAATACGAACGGTGTAAGATCATTGGATCCTCTTTGTGCATCTCAATCGAACTAGTCTGCCTCGAGCTAGGATCGAAGGCTTGGCTACTCCGTACATGGGGCCGAAATACGAATGGCTGACCCCCGATAAAACTCCTGGATATTACTAGGTATGCTACCTCCAGCTGTCTGCCAGATATCTACTGCCAAGCGACATTAGTGCCATGGCTCCCAGTGGCACACAAGAGTATATCCCATTAGAGGCCCTCAACGCAAACGCGAACGACGATGAGGCCGAAGTGAAACAGCCTCACCGCAAGCAAAGCAATATCTGGCACAGAATCGATATCACCAGTGTTCTCACTGTATTCCTCGGCTTCCCGCTCCTCTTTCTCGCAGTGATACTCCTGGCCCTGTTCTGGCACGAATCAATTAACGCCATCGATGGGGCAGAGCCAGGTATCTACTGGGTGCGCATCGTCAATGCAGGCTGGGCAGCGCAACTGGTGACAGTATGCACCGCCTCTATCCGAACGGTGGTGACTTTCCAGGCCGGACTTGCGACGGCCATGGTTGCAGCGATTGTTTTGGAGACCACAGGCGCCCCTCTCCTACAGGGTCCATTTTACTCCACGCTCCGGGCAGTCAAGGCGGCCCCCAGCAGCCTTTGGACCGCGACCAACTTCCAGCCTCATCTGTCGTACTTAATTTATGCACTAGTGCTCACTGAGGTCTTGGTGACAGCAGCATCCCAGTTTCTTTCCACCATCTTCCTGTCTGATTTTGGAAATGGGACCTTCTCCCAGCACAAGAACTCGACCAATGTTAGTATCCTCCATACTACGAAAAATGCCGATATTGCATGGTCGACGCCTCCTGCGGCCAGCTGGACATTTGCCGAGTTGTCGGGGTCCTTTGAAGACCGGTCAGGGTTCCATGATACCGGGCACACCTTTCGAGCTTTCCTTCCTTTCGAGGAGGAGGCGCAACGAACCAAACTACGCCAGCTCCGTGGTCCAGTACCGGTCATGGATCATCGGGTTGTCTGTGCCAGTCTGCCCCTAACGAACTTGAGCCTAGATTCGACCGTGCAGTATTATGTGCATCTGTCTGGACAGATTCCCACGGAGAACTTGACCTATCCATTTTTAATCGACTCCTACTCTCACCCCTACATCAATTTCACCTGCAAATTACCGATTCCAATGGACATGTACGACAACAACACGGTGGGTGAGACCAGTTTGTGCGCCCCCATCAGCCGCGCAAACTGGACGGTCCTCAACGAAGACCCTCTGATCCAGCCCTACGGCTTGCCCCAGATCAAGAGCCTATTCATGCTCCTCGATGTCGTTTCCACCTCCGCAATGGTGGGCACACTATCCCACATCCGAGCCTTGCAGACAATCCGAACTGATGGCCCCTGGACGATACTCTCTAACGGATCCGCCCACATCGAAGCCCTCCGCATCTCCGCCTGCCTTACCAATATCGCCACACAAACCCTCACCGTTGGAATGAGCAGCACATCCGACAACCTCGAGCCCAGGACTGCCTGGAATCACCACACCGAAAGCTTCAACACCGAGCCCTCTCGCCTCCAACTCGGCGTATCCTCCCCGGCCAACACGAGCTCCATCATCCACCGAGGTATCCTCACGCTAGAACCCCGATCCCAATGGGAAAGCTTTCACATCCCAGCTGGTACCCCAGGACTTAGTACCTTAGAACTCGGAGAAGACCCAAGCAGCTTCTTCGCAGCCATCCTCAACTTCCCCAACTTCCTCATCACCAACCTCAGCTACACCTTCGATTCTGGCGTGACCCTCTCTCGCAAGATCCCCACTATCAGCTTTGGCAACGCCCATCCGACCCTTGTGGATCTGTTCCAGGATACCCTAATTACGACGGCTAGTCCGGCGTTGGCCCTCCAGGCCCTGCTCACCCGCATCTGTCAGATGGCATACTACGAGCAATTGGTCAAGTTGACTAGTCCAATCCCGGCCGTGACGGCGTTCTCGCTCACCGCGACGATTCCGGTGCGGTGGACGGGTTTCATACTGGGGATGGTTCTCATTTTGGTTCATTCAGTTATTGCGGTGGTCGTCGTCGTTCTGTTTATGAGGTCGACTGAGATCTCGATTATTGGGAGTTATTGGCAGACGGTGGCGCAGGTGGTTTCGAAGGATACGGTGCCCATTCTGGAGGAGGCGGATCGGATGGATGATAAGGCTGTGAAGGAGTGGGCGAAGCAGAAGAAGGTGGTGGAATCATTGGACGATCGTTGGGTTGTGCGGGAGGGTGCTGATGGGCGGGTTACTTTGGGGCTTGTAGAGAATGAGGAGTAGAATATGAGTAAGTAGTACCCTGGATTTCCATGAGGTACTATGTAAAATGTAATGTTGAATGATTGATTGTCGGGGGAAAAAAAAACTTCCATTTCAGGAACGGATGGATGTCTTGTCTAGAATTTTGCAATACTGACACAATGATTAACTTGAGGGTTTGTTTCGCTTTCATTTTTACTCACCATTCTATTGTCCAGTTTAATGTCTAACACGGCTCTATGTGAACTGAAGATAAAACACTCTATATGTTATTATACTACGTTTTCGTGATTTGAATTGATGATAAAACAACTAAATTGACATCATGATGTTCTATCCAAATCTAATTCTATAATCGGTCAGTCGGAATAAACCACAGCTACCCAGATACATACTAGGCCCCGTTCACTTCCACTTCATCAACAGACCACCATGGAGTATCACCCAGAATACGCTTAGTATCAATGGTCTCCTTACCGGCCATAATCTCCTCCCAATGCCAGTCAGCAATCTCAGCTGCACGCCACATAATATGAACACGTACGAGATCGGCGTCTCCCACGACAGGTAACGAGAGACAGCACGGCTGAGTATGATGTAGAGGCATAGTGGTAATAGTGGCGACTCCAGACCGGCACTGCTCGGCCATAAGACGCATCATCCGCTCGCCGCTGTGGGGCTTGGATCGTCCGCCAAATTTAGTGAAATCTACCGTAACCCAGTGGACGTATTCCGTCACATCGACCTCGGGGATGTTGGTGCCATCGGCGCGAGAGAACATACCTGGTTGGGGCATCTTGGTTGAGATGGGAAGTGGGAGTTAAGATGGTTGAGTTGGTATGAACTTGGAGTAGTTGTGATGACTGGCTCGAGATGGACTCACGATAGGATTGTGAGGTTCACTGATAGGATGCATGGCCAATTAAATACCAACTCCAGTGCATCTTGTCGAGTCTTTGTTAGAAACAATTGTCTTCACTTTCTTTCATGTCTATATCCGAGCCTTTAGGAGTTTCCCTTTACCTCTTTGTCCGTATTTTTCCAAAGGTTAGTCCATTTGAACTCTGCCTTTCTTTTCTCTCTCTGCATATTTATAGATGCTAAATGATGAAAGATTATATTACTTTCTTTTTATACTTTTATATCTTTATAGTTCCATGGGTCGCAGACTTCTGAGTTCGATCTAAGTTCCCCAGGGCTTAGCGTGCTCCGGCCTCGGGATCGCGTCATTCCCCCCGAGATCACTCCCGAGGTCGCGGGGGTGTTCCTTCCAAATTACCACTCCTTCCTCGCATATTGCTGGTCAATTGCGCCTTCCCGATATGTCTGCACGTGCTCTGCTCAAGCAGCATTTTAAGCTTAAAAATAAGCTTCCCTCTCGCTACTTTTCCAGCACCCGATCCACCAATGCGGACTTCACTCATGCGGTAAATTGCACCCGAGATCCTAGACAGAAACCTAAGGCTAATCTCAATGAAAGGTAATTGGCGCAGGCGTCGTCGGCCTCGCGACCGCACGACAACTTGCAGCTCGCGAAGGCACCTCAACCATCCTACTAGAGCGACATGACGCCCCAGGGACAGAGACGAGCAGTCGCAATTCCGAGGTATGTATGCTATGCGATAAGGTCACCCCAACATTTGGCAACAAATCAACACAACCCAGCCAAGCTAACAACAACCCCTCGCCAACCAGGTAATCCACGCAGGCCTCTATTACCCAGCAAACTCCCTCAAAACCAGCCTCTGCATCCGCGGCCGCAACCTCCTCTACGACCTCTGCGCGCAAAACAACATTCCCCACCGCAACACAAAGAAATGGATTGTGGCGCAAACCCCCACGCAATGGGAAGCTTGTCTAAAGATCCACGCCCACGCACAACGACTAGGCGACGCGCCGACACGGCTAGTGGGACACGAGGAAGCGCAGCAGCGCGAACCAGACGTTAAGGCCGACGCCGGCATCGTCGAGAGCGAGACATCCGGTATCGTGGACAGCCACTCATTGATGACCTATCTGCAGGGCGACTTTGAGGACCGCGGCGGCGATATTGCATTCAAGACGCGCGTGACAAGCGTGGAGGCTATCGACGGCGGCCGCGGCGGGTATAAGATTACTGCTGTCTCGGATGAGGATGGCTCGATTACTTCCATTACTGCTGAGACGCTGATTAACAGTGCTGGCCATGGTGCGTGTGATATCAGTAACATGCTTCTCCCGCAAGATCGTCATTTTGTTCCGCATTATGCTAAGGGCACGTACTTCTCCTATGCGTCGTCCAGGCCTAGGACTTCGGTTTTGGTTTATCCGGCGACTTTGCCCGGCACTGGTGGGCTTGGTACGCATCTGACGCTTGATATGGGTGGGCGTGTTCGCTTTGGGCCGGATGTGGAGTGGGTGGATAGTCCTGATGATTTGGTGCCGAGCGCTGCGCGTTTGGAGCAGGCGTTGCCGGAGATTAAGGCTTATCTGCCTGGGGTCGATGTTGATGCTATTGCGTTGGATTACTGCGGTATTCGCCCTAAGTTGGGGAGGGGCGGTGCTGTCAATGAGGGCAAGGGATTCCAGGACTTTATCATTCGGGAGGAAGAGGGTCTACCTGGGTTTATCAATTTATTGGGAATTGAGAGCCCGGGCTTGACGAGTTGCTTGGCGATTGGTGAGATGGTTAATGGTATCTTGTACCGTTAGATACTGATTTCATCTTGCATTTTAGCTTGTAATTACTACATCATTTGGACGGTATATAGAGAAAACACAGAGAGGAAAAGAGCACTGCATATAGGACATTAACCAAACCATTCCTTCATTGTTCTCCGCCGAACTTAAAAAAGAGAATGACCTTAGGGTTTCTAAGTTTAGAGGAAACAAGAAGTACGTATCGAGGCTTAAGCGCCAATGATATCAGACACATGAGGTGAGATTTTAGTTCAACTGCTTATATTAACGACCAACCCCCAATCCTGACATACACCAACTCCCACATATTCCCAAATCCCCAAAAATGACATCCCTCCTCACAACCCTAGGCCTCCGCGCCTCCGTCACTCCCAACCCAAACTACGGCCCCGCATTCCTAACATTCAACTTCATCCTCGCCTACGGCCTCCTCTCTTCACGCACCCTAAAGCAATGGTACGGCCTCGACCACCAAGTCTCGCCACGCGAAGACCTGACCAAATATGGTGAGGCGGCTGTGCGCGAAGGGAAGATCACGCGCAGGCAGCTGGACATGCTCAAGCGCAATGAGTCGGCGCATGCTAACGCGGTGGAGAATTTCCCATTGCTGGTTGCTGGTGTGCTCTTTGCATCGTTGGCTGGTGTCCCCGCGCAGAGGGTCAATGCTGCGGCGTTGTCGTATACTATTGCGCGCGTTGTTTATGGGGCTGTTTATATTTATGTGGATCATCCTACGTGGAGTCAGGTTAGGGGGTTAGTGTGGTGGTGGGGGAATTCGAGTTGTTTCTTTTTGTTATGGAAGGCTGGGGAGTTGTTGGCTTGAGGTGGGAGGCATGTATGAAGCTTGGTGTATGTCAAGTGTACTGTATTCTTAGCAAAGTAGCATAGCTAGAATAGAAACAACGTGCAAGAAGGCAAATGTAAAAGAGACTATCTCAGTCATCAAGACTGAAGCAATAAACAAGAAACAAACCCCCAAGTGCAGTCCACAAAGCGAGAAATAACGGTACCAGCACGCCGTGACAGGATGAAAAGGAAAAGAAAGCAAATCCAACGCAAAGTATGAACATGCAAAGCTCGCTCCGAAGTCAACGTCCAGCGTCTATATGAGAGAAAAAAAAAACACAAACACAAACACCATGAGCCACACAAGTTCTGAGCAGTAGTATTCAAAGCGACCAAATCATTTCAAGCCAAATCCTTCGCTATTTAAAACTGCATCCCAGAGCAGCCGCTGGAATTTCTCCCGTGTAGGATAGCGGTAAAGGCCCAGAGTGTTGAAACATGTGCGCGCAATTGGGTAACGGGGACAGTCATCCCCAAGGCAAGCAAGCCGGATAATAAGGCTGGTAGCCCCCATGGCTGGGATTCGATCGCTGCCAGTGATGAATGACAGGATCTTGCGCTGATCTTGAGGCTGCGATTTCTCAAAGAAGTCCCAGAACCATCGCACCACGGGAAGTGACTCTGGTCGTGGGTGTGACCAGTTGTCGTAGGTGGCCACGGCCCGGAGGGAACTGACATCAAGTGCTTCATCTGAGCCACGGATTAACAATTCGATCTCTTCTGGTCGGAAGAGTGATAACGCATTGCCACCGCAAACCGTGAAGAAGCCGCGTTTGAAAGGTTCAAATTGTCGAGCCACAGCTGTGTCTAGCAGATATTGAACATACAAATCCACAAACTCACGCTTGTTGGAGTTGGTCACCGGCCGGTTCTCGCCATTTGAACAGAGTGGCACACTAACGATCTCGCCGTAGCGATCGACCTGGGCAACGAAATCATAGCAGAATGTCTCGGCAACATTGCCTTCGAATTCTAGTAGACCCCGGAGTCCTTTGGCGAGAGCTGGCCGGTACTCGGCAAGGTCTTCTAGGGTGCATTTGAAGGTCGAACGCATGGAGGTAGCCGTCTGTGGCCCGTTGGCGTGCGGCGCCGCCGATAGCAATTTCTTGAACGCAAACGGCGGGAGATCAACATCAAGGATGGTGGAGTTATAAATGGCAAGACCTAGAAGAACTCCAACCAAGAAGAATTGTTCGGATGACTCGAAGCAATAAGGATTGAAGTAGCAATACTGCGAATCATCATCGTAGATGAAAAGGCCTATTTTGAATTAGCGAGTGATTTCATCCTAGTATTAGAGAACGCTTACCATGGAGCGGGTCAAAGACCTCTCGGACGAGCAGAAGGAACCATTCCTTCCGCAGTCCACCAGCGTCAATGCCTTCTTCGCCTGAAAATTCGATCCGGAGACCCTTTTTGATTTCTTCTTGGCCAGTGCCAACAACTTCACTCACTCCCTTGAGACTATCTTCAATCAAACACTCGCGCCTCACCTTCAACACGAGATACTGACTAACCGCCGTGTGGTTGAGGACGCTGGTGAAAAATGCATCGCGTGCTTTCACTTCCATTTGACGACGCGCATCATGCTCCATGATATGAATCTTGGCCCAGATGCTAAGGAGGAACGGATACTGACAGAACGAAAACTTAGAGACTTTAGCTTCCCAAGTCTCGAAGTCCGTCACTAGATCTGAATAGTCCAGCAGTGTGTTGTAAAATGTACTGATCGGAATCACATGTCCTTGGCGAGGGCCTGGATTCTTGGGCATTTCAAGAGTGCGCGGTGTTCCATCGGATTTCCTCGTTGCAGAGGAGATGTTAGACGTAAAAAACAGCGACATCACTCTTGCCGCCGCTCTGATCTGCCAGTCCTCGGCGTATACAATGGGGTCTTCGGTCTTTTTGCTAGGCTTCTTATTCGTGGTGCTTCGATTAATCGCAGCGTGAAGTTCTGCGGCAGTATTTCCCGAAGCACTGGCGAAACTCGGTATTAGATCATCTCCCTCTTGAGGTTTTTGAGGGCGTTTTCGCCCATGCTGACGACTCAAACGGTAAGTGAGAAATCCACCGACAAGTTCTACCAGTCGCTCGAAATGTCTGACAGAGAAACGGGAAGCCCAAGACACCATGTAGTGATGGCAGTCATTGGGCAGGTTAGACATGAGTCCCAGAATTCGTTTGATAATTCCGTAGTGGTGACTGGAGCCCTCTACACGGGCAGGAGCTTTGGGCGACTCTTTCTGTGGAGGTTTTCCGTCCCGGGTTGCCAACTTCGGGTGGTCTTTTGGATGCGAGGGGCGCCTGTCGTCTCGATGAGACGGTGAGGTGGGCGCATGCTGGCAATAAGACGCAGGTGAGCACAATAGAGGATTCGCTAACAATATGAACAAGAACCTGGTATCTTCTGGTTTTTTCAGAACACGGCGCGGGCGCTTGAGGAGTGCCTCCGAAGCCTTCAACAGTGTCCGCTGTAAGTGTAAACGAGACTCGCTGACTTGTCTCCCAATCAAGGACGGATCGATAGACGCCCATCTCTTGGCTCGAATCAAATCCGCTTCTGATCGTGTGGGGTCGGGCTTTTTAGCGGCCCAGAGCTCAGTCCAAGAATTCCCCGCAGACAGGATCGAATGATACCACTGGGCTAACTCGGTCCAGTTGATCCGAGGACTTCGCGATGATATCATTCGAGACTTTGGGGTGCTCTTCTCTTTGGAATACGCGGGATTTTGGCCTTCGGCCTCAGCCCATTCATTCATCCACCAAGAAGAGTTCTCAGTCAAATCTCCCAAAAGAAGAGTTTTGGCATCCGGTTCAAAGAGGGGAGCGTCATGCGCTGGCTCGGGCATTGTAGTCGGTTCCATCCTCATTCTCGGCGGATTACCATTACTAGCTGCTCGAGCCGATCGAGGGGGTGGGTATGTGGTAAAAGATTCGTTGAGGCAATCACAACCTTTGAAGGCAGTGGCGATGGTATTTTCCAGCCGTTTGAAAATGTGTGTCCGATGGTCGGAGCTTTGGAACTCCGGGTTCCCAGCTTGCGAGACATCTTGCAGGTGGCAGTCTGGCTTTGGGCTTGATCGGATATCTGAATTTGCTCGGACTCTAACGGGCGTGTCATTTCCCTCCCAGTGAACGGATTGTGGTGTCAAGTAACCTGAGTTCTCTTTTGACGCCGCCAACCTTTCCCGTTCACTAGAATGGGAAGCACTACGGCTCCGAGAATCCCCAGTTCGCGAGGGTGCGAGATTATTTGGGCCGGGCTCATGAGCCTGCATTGGCGGAAGGTCAGGTAGCGGTTTGTTCTTTCTGTCGTCGTCCGGCGACAACCATGGCCGAGAGCCATTATCCAGAAGGCTATCGAAATACATATTGAGACACCCACCGATCATACCACGAGTTTGATTGGCCGTCAGAGGAAACACTGCGGTAAGAAATCAGCACACAAATCTATGAAGCAAAACTAGGATTAGTGGTGTTACCTTTGCTTGCCAACTTGGACGCTCCACCCTGAGTCCCTTGTGGAGGGGTTCCTTTTGACTCATGAGAAGTCGGCTCGAGGTCTGTGACCATCAAGCAGTCGGTGCATCTAAACACCTTCAAGTGCCGAGGCCACCGGACAGTAGCATCACAAGTCTGGCACTTGCCCTCGGCGATATCATTTCCAGCTGCTGCACCTTTCCGGGGACTTGACGACTCGGGCTCCATTGGGTAGGTTACCTCGTCATCTTCATCATCGTCAGAGTCCCAAGTCGCATGCTTGGCAGCTGTCTTATCCCGTTTCCGTCCAAAACCAGCGAACGGATTGCTGATCGAGCGTGAATGTCCTCGATGGTACGAACCCTTGGGCGTACTGCCGTTTAACGGGGGCATGGCCGAAGCATCGCGAGGCCGAACTATGCGGCGTGGGCTGATTTCGAGGCCAGGAACTTGGGAAGGGTGTAGTCCAGGAATGACGGTATTGCTAGCAGTTGAGATCGGAGGGACAGGCGGATGACGTTCAGACCTGGACGGCATGGAGGCGCATCAATTTATGAGGGTTTGATTTAACCAAATTCAACCTATCCAGTGTGGTTTCCAGCTCGTGGAGCTTGGCCTTCGTGCCAGACACATGCGAATAGATCGTGGAGGACGGAGTCGGGGGGTAAGGCAGTCGAGTAAAGTGAGCTTGGCTTCTTTGTTTGGTGAATGACAGGTTGGTCTATTACAGGGATGGACCTTCAGTAAGCAAGTCAAGTCTCACCAAATAAAGAACTAGCTCACCTCGAGGTCCAATAGAAGAGTGATGGATCGTTACAGCAGCATTTCATAGTCTGTAGACGGATTGGGAAAGCGGCCGGGGGGGGGGGGGAATGCAGTAGTTCCTGCCTCAGGCACTCAAATTCTATTTATGGATTTGTCGCCTGAAATAGAAGGCGACATGTCTATTTTTGTGAGACACGCAAATCCCGATGATCGTTAGTTAAGACATCAGTTCACGTAGAAAACCCCCCAATTTACAACGATACATTTTAGCTCCTAGCCGTAAATGCACTAGACCACTTGCTAGCGATCCGCTAAGGCACACTACTATCCGACGACGGGTGGCCCCCGCAAGTACAACACGAAAGAGACACGAAAGAGACAACAATATTCGGCCGCATTTGTGGTTTCGTGAAGTCTTTTTAATTGTATTTTTAGATGCATTTTCTTCACAGATATTTTACCTTCTTCAGTTTTGTAGATAGACAGCAGAAGAAGGCGGAGAAAGGCTTAATTTGTGAAATGTACTTTTCTATTTATAGCCAAAGACCAAAGAAAAGATCAGAGATGAACACCAGTCAGATCTCACGATGGGAATATATGTTCGTATGACAAGTAGAAAAGAAGACTAATTCAAGTTTACGCATTCTACGATACCAGTGGCATGGAGTTGAACTAGTCATACTTCGTTAATAGGGGAATTGAAAATAGAACAAGATGGCTTTTTGGCTAACAACAGAACCGGCTGGCCTGCATTAAAGTTGAGCCCAGCGTGGATAACACTGTCTGGGAAAGAAGTGCCTGAATAAATGACCACATGCTGTAACCAACATTTTCCAACCGAAACCACTGTGAAAGTGCACTACCGCACTTAACGGTAACGCCAGTAGCTCTGGGTGTTCTGGCGCTTCCAGGTGTGGCGGCGACCAGCCTTGGTGTTGTTGTAGCGGTGACCCTTGTTGATACCACGGGACTTCTTGCCAGTGGCGGTGAGGCCACGGGACTCGCGGTGCTAAAAAGAAAAACTTGATCAGTAAAGCTCTCGAGTATCACAGCTGGATTTCGAGCCAAACTCACCTTGTGAACGGGGTTACAGATCCAGTTGATGCGGGCATCACGACGGATGGCCTTGTGCTGGGGGTCGACAAGGATAACCTCGTAGTACTTGTAGGTGGAGTCCTGGTTGATCCAGTAGGAGTTCAGGACGCGCAAGTTAGCAGCGCGGCGGCCAACACGCTCCTCAGCGGTGGACTTGAGAGCACGCTGGTACTTGAGCTGGTTAACACCGTGGTTGGTGGGCTTGCCTGTTCACACAATCGCACATTAGCCAAAAAAATCCTTCAGTTCCCACAGATCTCTATAAAAAAAATCTGCTCTCGATAGGAAAGGTTCGTACCGAAAGTGGCACCCTTGGAAACAGGGCGTTTGCGGCCACCGCGGCGGACACGGGCACGGTAGATAACGTAACCCTGCTTGGCCTTGTAACCGAGACGACGGGCCTTATCGGGGCGCGAGGGGCGCGAGGCACGGTGGATGGCGTTCAGCTGGCGGAGCTATATTATGCACTCTCAGCAAAGTTCAACGAGTGTATAGCAAGACACATGAAGCCCAGAAGGGTTTTCTTGCGTGCCACAATCATTTCCGCCGAATGACTTTTGTTCGAGCCGCCTAGCAATACCACATAAAAACGGCATGTCCTAAGGCAACGCACACGAGTGCTCGGCGGAGATGTTAGGCAATCGGGGGCGAAGGGTTTTATCTCACCTCCCAGCATCGGACGCGCAGCAGGAAGCGAATCACATCGGACTGCTTCTTCTTCTGGATTTCTTCCACGTACTTGAGGGCACCCATCTGGACGGTTGTAAGTCAGAGAAATGCACTGGCGGCAGAGATTGGACTGAATGAAAAATGATAAAACGTACCTTGTCGGCTGTACGAGGTCGTCGGTTGTCGTTGTCGCAAAAAGTTCGAGGAGGAAAACGTCTAGAGGCAGAGGTTGTGTGTGGGACGCTAGCGATTAGCGAGTTGACCCACTGCGACCAATCACGGGATGAGCAAAATTAGTGCCTTGAACATCAGGTGTCAACCTTGGAATTTCATACCGCTGCCTCAGGCTTTCAACTCTAAATTGGTACGCTTTCATTCATTTCCTTCCTTGGGCAAGGAAGGGCCCTTCTTCAAAGATTACACTTTTTAACGTTTTGCTCCTCGGTATCTATTGGGTGGTTTGTGTTATAGGCTAATGGCCAGAAGTAAAATGACATACAAACCGAACCCATATAAGTGGCCCACTGACTTTGTAGTTCCATAATTGGATACTTCTGTTGAAAATTTTTAATTTTGAGATACATTGTCCACATATCCCATCAGTAACTATCAAATTATCATACAAAAACATTAAGATCGTCAAATCACCTCGCTCAGTAAATGCAACTAATGATCCTCGCTCTCCCCATGCTGGCACAGAATGCATAGTCTTCCAAAATCAAAAAAAATCAAAGAACTAAAAGCAATTAAAAACAGTATCATGTGTTGCATTCAAGGGCGCCTCGAAAGATGCTCTCGTTCGACCATCTCATTGGTCACAGAGATGTAGTATGAGCCTGCTGGCAAAACGCTCTTCTTGCATAAAGGACAAAGACAACAGTTCTGGATTAGGAATGGATCGATACACGCTGCGTCAAATATGTGTCCACAGGGCAGTTCGCGAACTGTAGATGATCCAACAACAAAATCGTCGAGGCAAATAGCACAAGTTGTCTGGGTATGGCTCAGGCGGTACTTGCTTCTGCAAGAATCATTCTGTTCAGGTTTGATCATCGCGGCTTCGGGTTTCTGGATACCAGCATCGTCCTGGGCATGGTTGTCTTCGTTAGGCAATAGGGAGTTGGTCTTTTCGCCAGAATCATGCTCAATTGGGCTTGCCAATGTATCATCTTGTAAAACCGTTGCTTCTGCTGGAGGCTTGATCTCCAAGTATGTGTAAAGTGGCATTTTGTTAACAACCTCTTGAGGAGCCGTCATTTGGTTCAATGCCAAGGCCTCGATGTCGACTTGACCTGCATTAATACGTCTCTGGAGCTGAGCCCGTCTCTTGCGCAGGACAAGTCTATAAATAATGATCAGGAGGATACTGAGTATAAGAACTGTCCCTGCAATTGCAAGTACAAAACTCCAGACGCTCGTCGACGAGGTTGTACCTTCTTCGCCTACGATATGTGAGCATGAATTTCGATGGTGACAGATCCTTGTGTACCTACCAGTTTCAATCCTGGCAAACAATCGGCTCGTCTCGGTCTGTAGCGCAAATTTTTCGGTTGAGTTGTCTCTCTTGTCTTCGGGTGTCGCATTTGAATACCACGAAAGATCATTGATCAATGAGGTTCCAGCTGGGCCTGAGATGGCATACACTGGGTAATTGTTGTCCATTCTCCATTTATCTCCATCGTTGATTGCCCAACGAGAGTCGTTTGAGTCAGGTGGTATGCCGGTCTCGTTGTCTGATGGCTGGAAAAAGATCATAGCATGCGTGCCGACCTTTTGGGCGGCAGAGAGGAACGATAGCGAACATTCGGCAGTTACCCATGGAGCAAGGCCAACGAGGGAGTATCCGAATTCTGACACATCTTCATAGCGGGTCACGTTTGACGGCACGGATGGAGCAGTAATGTCATAGCACGGATCGTGCGGATCTAGACTGGGTACAAACAAGAGGCCTGATACCAATCCGTCCTTAGGAATGCTATTGCTCGATATCGTTTGGACCTTACGGTCAAGAACAAATCGATAGGCGACATTTTCCTATGCAATTTCGCAAGTTAGAATCTGCCCCAGAGGCTGTTGTCAAATTCGGAATGAATAAGATATGCTTACTTCGACTGACGAGGTGGTATTTGAAGCTTGCCCTTCACCTGCCCAAAGCGTAGCCACTTTACCCACGGAGTTCTTTTGCGTAGACATAGTGGCAGCTGACATGATCATTGATATTGGGCCAAGTGAATAGTGACGATGAATGCCAAATAATATCCTTAGGATACACTAGAGGTTGAATGGTTGAGACCAGTGAGGAAGGCGGGTGCATAGAGGAAACAAATTGAATATGAAAGAGTTTGAAACCGGCAACCACTCCGGTTTTAGGCAAAGTCGTTTGAGACTTCAGTCAGCCCTGAAGCATCCCATACATATCCATTGCTATTTAGAGCTCTGCAGCGGAAGAATGCGAGAGTCAATCGGGACCGTCACAAGAATGTAGAATAAGCCTGGTTCAACCACGAGGCAATAGGCAAAACGCCTTGGCTAAAATACACTGAGTTTCACATTTCGAAAGAAATCTCCGTGAACGAGTAAACAAATAATAATGGCCGAGCGCGTGGTCTACATCGTATACTTCGCTAAACATGGCCGTTCGCGGTAGACCGTTTATGGAGATGATCATCAACAGGCAACTTTTCAAGCTTTTGAAATTGGTATTGGGATTAGTGAGATTACGTTAGAAATAGTAGTTCTTCAACGCTTGCAATTCATAAGAGACCTTGTTTGCTCTCTAATGCCTCATCCCTTAGAATGTGTTCGGAGTAGCCGACATTCGGGTTTTCTCCCCAGAACTGTAGGAATGTGTGTCAACTTTCAACCTTAACCACATTTTTGGGCGCTAGGCCATGTGTGTGAGCCTTCAACTGGTGAGGCGCAAGCGAGGCGCAGGCTTGATAGTGTTTCGTAGAATGCAAAGAATTGAAGCATCTCAAACCCAATTTGGTCATTCTCCAGGGCTCAGGAACCAACGAATCGAGTGATGTGCACGTGATGATAGGCTTCGTATCGTCATCACGTGCTATACACTCTGGCCGACCGCCAGCGACCGCCAACCACCATCATCTCGGGAAAGTCATAATTCATCCGTGTTCGAGAATCGAGAGGACCTCTTGCTCTGTATCTGCTTTAGCTCATGATCAGACAACTTTGGGGGATAGTCAATCTCTCATTCTTCGCTCCTAGTGACCAACGACAGCATGTGTCTGTCTAGTTCCATTCACACCTCCTAGGATCCTTTCTATCGACCAGTCCCTCTTTTCGTTGATCCTGTCCTTGACATCTTAATCATTTCATCTCTTCTTTTTCCTTCGTCCGATCATCAGTCTAAAGAAACACCATGCCGCCCGCATACAAAGGCAAGGGCAAAGGCCGCGATGCGCGCCAGTCGCGTAGCCGCAATACCACCCCGTCCAGCGGTAGTGCTCCCACTATCCCAGCACTGCCTATCCAAAGCTATTTGGAAAATGATGTCACCAAGCACATTGACTTGGCTAGTGTGCAGTATTCCGATGTGTTGGACCTGGTATCCGCGCAGAACATCCCAGATTCGAAAACACTAGAGACATTGGTGGAGCACCTGAAAGGTCTCAGTGACATGGCCGATCTTCGTGGCGAGGTTTGCAATGCTGGAATGCGCGAGATGTCTCAAAAGCGCAAGGAAGTGGAGGATCAGGAGCTTGATCGTGAAGTTCGAGATCGCTCCAAATTGAAACGTGAAACCGAAGAGGATGACGATATTCATAAGGGCGGGAAGCTGAAGAAGCGGAAAGAACGCCCAAGTGGAAAAGAGGATCGGCCATTAAATCATGGCGCACATGAGGTAGCGCGCCAGGATGGAGCTGAGACTAAGGTTGAAGGAGGTAAGAGACCCAACTCGGCGCTTTCTTCCCACTCTTTGTTTTTACCGACCCATCTCCACAACTTGATCTTCTTTCACTTTCCCCACCGTTCAACCTTCACTAACCATCACCAGCGGCTTCTCCAGCATCGAAAAACTCCAAGAATGCGATATCGGATGAAAGCTCCTCGCTTTCACCTCCATCGATGATGTCCCCCAATGGCACGACCACCGCTGGCGACGGCCCTCCCCCCGGGACCCCCGGGTCTGACACTAGTGCTGATTCCCACCAACCTGAACCCCAGCCTGCAATTCCTCAAGTGCAAATCTTTGGCGATAATCCGCTGAAGTTTGACGATCCGACCATTTACAACATTCGAGATGTTCTCCCAGACATGACGGACGATGAAAAGAAAGAGATTTACAGCGTTGCCCACTTCCCCAAGACCGATCTTGCCCACATGGCAGCTGGTGTGGCTCCTGATAAGGACTTCAGCAACGCCAAACCTTCCAACCAAGTCAGCGCGAATACTTTCCAGACTTACATTGAGCCTTACGTCCGGCCTCTTACCGAGGAGGACATTGCCTGGTTAAAAGAAAGAGTAAGCCATTTGCTAATCTTATGTCAACACAAGCTAACCTGCCACAGGGCGATCGCACTACTCCATTCATCATGCCCCGTCGCGGAAAGAAAAACTATCGTCAAATTTGGGCGGAGGAGGATGGAGTTTCATACGACTCAAGTCAGGATGACAAGGACCAGCTGCCTTTGAATCAAGGCCGTGGCAGCATCGAACAGCTGACTGACGATAAAGCCGAAACCAACGAAGTCTCGGTTGGACCTCTCCTCAGCCGACTCTGTTCTCTCCTCCGTTACGAGCACCGTACCTTTCCCGAAGATTCCAATCCAACTGCAAATGGGGACGCTGCTAGTGTGACTGGACTGGGTGGAGACGCAATGGACATTGATCAACCACCTGTTGAGAAGGAGAACAAGGGCGAACCGAAGGCTCTCCCTGCTGCAACCACCTTCCGCGACGCAGATCCAAACGACTTCAAAACTTCGGTCGCAAAGTTGGACCATGCCCAACTTGATGAACGCGCCAAAGCCGAACTGCGATTCATCGGTTTCCTCGGTGCAGACGATAGTCCAGACTACGACGCTCACTACGATGATGAAGTTGCTGAGCGACTCCGCCTCCTCCAAAGCGAGCTCAAGAAGCAAATCGTCACCAACAATGCGCGCAAGGCTCGCATTTTGAAGATTGCCCAGGAACATATGGCCATGCTTGAGTTTACTACCATCCAAGACGACCTCGACTCTCAAGTCCAACAAGCCTATCTCAAGCGCACCCGCACTATGGGCAAGAGCAAGAAGGGCGCTCAGCCCAAGCACCGGCCTGGCGGCGCTGGTGGCGGCAGCCACGTCGCTGGTTCTGCGGGCGTTTCCCGTCCTGCTGTCGGAGATGCTGCAAAGATTGTCATGGACCGTCGTCGTCGCTGGAACGAGGCATTCCTGCCTATCTTTGACGACATCAAGACTACCATTCCCTCTGAGGGAGAGTCGATCTTCGACCAAGAAGTTATGGCTGAGTACGAGAAAGCCGAACTTGAGAACTGGGACGAGGAATAAATGCTCCACCCTCTCCGCTCTGTTCCAGGTTTTTATCACTCCACGACCCGTCTTCTATCCTTTGGCTGTTAGCCACCTCAACCTTGTTTTGATTTATTTCCCGCACGATACGATACGAATGCATGATGGGCTGGCGTGGCGTTAGCGGATACCTTTTTTTTTTCTCTCTGTTCCACCACATCGAATGTTGAACCCCGTGGCTACCTATGTTGCAGTCCGCTTGAAGATACACACTGGATCTTTTCCACATGTATCTAGCTAGTTAGATGTGACTATGTCCGTGTATTCTTATTCTTAAGCTGTAATCTCTCAATGAAAACAAATTCTTCAATCTTCAGATTTTCAGTAGTTGCCTGTAGTACCGCATATATATATCCAACCCCATCAACGCCAAAATGATAAAAAGTAGGGTATCAATCAATTCTAGCAATCCAAAAAGAAACAAAACAAAAAAGCAACCTCTCCCAAACTTATCTATGAATAATCAAAACCTCCCAAGGATACCTCTTAAGTCTAGCCGTCAACTCCCTCTCACTCATCTCCAACTCCGTACAAATCTGATCAAAGCAATGCGTACCATCAAGATACTTCCCAAGAACTTCATCCCCAACAAACTCATCTTCCTCCTCCCAAAACGCAGACGGCGCCCCCGCACTCCCATTCCCATTCCCACTCCGACCCCCACTAACAACGGACCCAGCCCGCTCACGACTAGACTCCCTCCTCGCAACGGCCGAGATAGGCGCGTCCTCCGACACACTCGATACCGCATAGGGCGTATTAGTGCCCGTAGTCGCACGCGACGATAGCGCTGTCGGGGTGAACGATGACGCGCGCGGGGGTGGGGCCGGCTGGCTTGTTGCGCATGCGTATTTGTGCACGCGGTACAAGAAGCCCTTTATCACGCCGAAGGTGATGAAGCGACGGATGTCGATGTTGGCTAGGGAGCGGCTGTGCGCTGCGTACCATTGTTTGACGCTCTGGCCTTGTTTCAAGCTTGCGTAGAGCTCGACTAGCGCGGCGCCGTCGACGATTGCCGGCTTGTGGAGTGCGTTTGTGGATGTTGGGGAGGTGGAAGAGGGGGTTTCTTCGGTGCCGAGGAGGGGCCAGATTTCTTCTGCGTCGAAGCGGGATTCTTCGCGTCCGAGGCTGGGTGTTGGGTCTGTGAGGGAGCTGGAGAGCACGGCTGTTCCGGCGCTGCCGGTTGTGATGCCGTGGGCGCTTGGGGATGGGATTAGGGTTGGCGGGATGGGGGAGGAGGGGCCGGTTGGTGGGTGTGGTGCGAAGCGGAGGTTTACGTAGCGGGCACATTCTAGTTGCATTGTTTCGTCGGAGCCTATTGTTTGGCTGAATTGGGCGGTTGGGGCGTAGATCGCGGTGAAGGAAAAGATGTCGAGGATAAATAGGCAGCCGTAGTAGAGGAGATGGCGGAGGGCGCGGCAGGTGAGGGAGAAGTCTGTGTCGGCCAGGACGGAGATGATGCGGACGCTGTTAACTCCGTTGATATGTGGTACGATCTGACAGGTTTCAGCTGTTGTGTTTCTAGTCATGGGGACAGTGGAATCTTCTACATACCCTTTGCATGGTCAAGTCCCAGTTCTCATCCATGAAGGCTTGGTATCGCAATGTGAAGAGCGGCACTTGCCAGGCCTTGACGGGTGGGGGAGAGGGGTATATCGGGAAAAGCTTGATGTTCAGAGTGTTTAATTCGTCTGGATAGAATGGTTAGCAGCGGAATCGTGCTAGACAGGTCCATGGACATACCGATGGGAATCATGCACTCGCAATAGTTGTTCAAGTCCTCCATCAACATCTCACAGAGACTATACACCTTTCCTTCACCACTCTTCGAGAAATCGCGGGACAAGAAACCATTCTGCTCTTCCAGACCATGCATTAGGTCTGCTAGCTTCTGTACCACGCTCTTGTATGTGCTGAAGTCGTCCTCCTCGGCGAGGACTATGCAGAAGTTGAAGATGAATTCATTTCGGTCGTACCGCACTGACTTCATGCAGATTGGGTAGCCTAGGATACGATATCCATTTGTGCAGACTTGCAAGAGGTTTCCACAGAGCTCTTGGCGGGGTATCACGAAGAAGGAGACATCGGAGAAGGTGAGGAAGGGTGGTTGTGAGGGCGCAGTGGGGGAGGGGACGATGGCTCCGTCTGGGACTTGATGGACAACTTTGGGTCCTATATAACAGTATGTAGTCAGTACATGGGTAATTGAAGGTTTACCATGGTATTGGAGGTCCTTACCCTCTATCGTGTCGAATTTACTGTAGAATATTGCCTTGATCATTGTGGAGATGCTGTATGGATGAATGCTTTATGACCAAGTTCAGTATGAAACGGCGCAGTCTATCGGCCAAATTCAATCAAACGCAGAGCTGAAACGAGGTTCATGTTCATGCCATGGAGATCAGTTGCGGAGCGGACCTCAGAGTGGAGAGCTTATCGAAATCAATATTTCCAAAGACTATTCCTAATTAGGCTAGACTGTATACATCGTGTTTGCTTTGATTGGCTAAACCCGGCTATAGTCAGAATCACGTGAGATATAATGTTCTAGGTGAGATTCTGTAAGGATCGCATGGTTTCTATTGGATAATCCTAGATGCTAGCTAAATGCAGTATTAATTACATAATCCTGCCAAGCAGGGCTTGGTCCAATATTAACCCTCCACTTGTTGTACGTTTTAGTGAGACTTGGCCACTTGGCCAAGTCTCACTTGCCTGAGGCCCCGACATGCCTAAGGCACCGAGAGTATGCAAACCCTGCAAACCTCTCGGGAGCACATAGGTGTGGCCCCGAACGAATGTTAGGGCCTAGTGTTGTATGCAGCTGCAGAGTCAAATAGAGGTTCTGCTTGTCCTTATAATCTTTTGGCCTAGCGGTTAATTGCTCTTATTTAATCCCTTAGGAGTAGCGGTCTAACCTTGGAAGTGGTACGTAGGATTGCATACATGTAGGTATCCCCGCACTCTACCACCTGGGAAACTCCAGTCCATTCAACAACCGCTTCAGGATATCTCACGCATGTTGTACTTGCCCTTTCTCTCCTATTCGAAAGGGTTTCCGCTCCTCAATTTTCGTACAAGAGCGTTTAGTCGGCAAGTATCTCCACTCTCCCCTCGAACAATAACTACTAGATAAGATTGGCTAACCTCAGGCGCAGGTGCATACTATAAGCGTACCCACGATGGAACCAAACAGCAAAAAGGGGAGAAAATTCCTTCCACCTGAGTTTGATTTTGAGCATACGACCAAAGAAACGATGTCTTCCATAACTACAGAAGATGGAGGATGCGATACACCCACATACAGTAGTGTTTGCGGTGGATCAACAACCAGTTCCCCTCCGAGGCATCTGAATACATCCCGCTCTATGGATTGTCCTTGGAAAGGCAGGTCATTCATCATTCGTGATTCTAATACAAGCCTTGTTATTGGGCTCCAAAAAGGTATCCTACGCCTTGTGCCTGAACACAGTGAGCGTGGGTGCGGTATTCATTGGTCGTGTGTCGAATCTGACGGGATGTTGCTGGGATTTCAAAACATGGTTTCTGGCACCTTTATCGGGCATAATAACAGGGGTAAACTCATCGCGGGGGCCAAGTTGCACCGGGACTGGGAATCCTTTTGTGTGCGAGAACATCCAGATGGCGGCTATCTCCTCCTCGTGAAGCAGGGCAGTGGGTTCTTGCCGATGCGGATAGACGGGGGCACAGAGCTTGTGGTCAGCAATAACAGAGATGAGGGCGTAGTATGGGAGTTTACTCGTGTCGAAGATGAATCTTCTATTTGATTTCACCCTTTTTGTTTTCAAACACTAGCCTTTTCAAGTAGTGTTTAATATCAAGGAAGATTCAGTCTACATCTCGAGCTCTACAGTACCCATCTATTAGATGATCATGAGCATAAGTGATATTCAATAGAATAGATGTATTTCTGAGTAAGTTAGAATAACTTTTGCCGTTTGCTNCCCCCCCCCCCCCCCCCGATTACCACGTTGAATATGAATATTCCCGGCAAAGCAGATAACAAACAAGCTAACGAGTCAAACAACAAAGCAAAGTGCAAAGTGACAAACAAGAGCATGAGGGTATTAGAGAAAATGAGACAGGAGACAATGAAATCTATGCGTAAGCAAGAGACTCTTCTGGACGAGACGTAAGTAGAGCAATGGATATAGATAAAGAAAAGCAAAGGGAAGCCCGAGAAGAAGGAGCCAGTCCACTTCAGACAATGCGAGAGAGGTAAGATGCGCCGTAAAAATGCAAACACGAATCGTAGCGGGGGACCCTATTCAGTGGGTCTGATCGAGTAAATACTACGCAGTCATTGAGCCGTGCCGGAGGCAGGATTGGATGTAGATGGAAGAGCAGTGTTGGTTGCGATAATGCTGTCTGGCACCGCGAACAAGGTCGCCCTTGTCACTACACGGGCCGCACCACGACCGCGTGGGAGTCGGACATTGTCAGCGACAAGAGTCAAGGGCTGGTTCGCACGAATGGCATGCACCATTTCGCCAAAACTGCCACGCTCTCCGGCCTCCTTCAGCCATTGTTCCCAGTCCTCATCTAGCGGCACATCAGTGCCTTGGTCGCGAGCGGCCATCGCAGCAAGGATGCGATTGTTGAGGGCGACACCACAACTTTCCATTTCCTCGTCGCTGAGTTCGTCTTCGATTTCGTGCTCCTCCTCAGCGGACCGGTAACTCGAGGCACGGGAATCGATGGCACGGACCGTATCATTGCTTTGTGTCTCGATGATCTGGTCATCTTCCTCTTCTGTCCCGCAGAAGTCGCAGTCGTTGAAGTGGATCTCGATCGAAGGTGCGGGTTGCGGGGATGCCGGTCGGACGGAGTGGGCTGTGGTGTCCCGCACGATAATCCCTTCTTCGGCCTCGTACCGCTGACGCGCGGACTTGGTCCCCTCCCACCGACAGAGACTGGAGATCTCCTCCTCTGTCAGACCGAGCTCGTCAAATGTGCGGAACAGTCTTCGGTGCCATGGGAAGCGACTCAGTCGCATGCGATGTGGTCCATATGAGTAGTCCAACCCCGGGTATTGTGCTTCGATGCAGTCTAGCGAGCCGTAGAAAAGGGATGTTTCGACACGTACTTCTGGGACGAGGTTTCGGGAAATGTGAGCGCCAAACGAGCCTGGGTCATTTGTGCGAGGTCGTGGAAACGTGGCGTTATACACGATCTGGCCCACGGATGGTTTACGCATGATGAGGTTCGGATGTGGAAGGAGTTAAAGAGGTAAAAGAGCAGATTAAGGAGAAGAAGGTTGTCCCAGACACCTTGGAATGTGATGATTCAGGATATCCAGCCCTAGAGGGTTCCCCCCTTGCCCTTTGTCAAATTCCCGGACGTTTGGGACGTTTCGAATGTTTCGAATGTTTTGATGGGGAGGGATGCTTCAGCTGTTGACAGTGGGTTGACACACGCTAGAGAGCGCGCAGTAAATTCTCGAGAATATAACAGAAGTGCTTCTTCAACCTGGATTTCTCGTAATCCAGGTCAATGGATATAATAATTAAAGGAAAATTCCGATCAGGTGCCCAGCTGACGTTTCGGCTCTTTGACCCTTGAGGAATTGAAGGTCTCACAGGTGTTCCATTGATCAATTAGAATAAAAAGAAGGGGAAAAAAAGGAAGGAAAATCGAAAGAAATCAGAGAAGAAAAGAAAAAGAAAAAAAATCGAATAGATTGGGAAGAAACAGGGCATACAAGACTTTATAACTAGTCCTAAGTGTGCGTTGGCAGTATGGCCACGATGCATGGCCAGCTGTTAAGGCGACACATTCTTTTTGGACTCAGGTGGACTTCACAGATTTACTTACATGTGCATAATATAATTTCCATCGAATCAAAATCCTCTAAATCCTCTAAATTCGAGAAAAGATTCAACAGATCATGACATTATTGCCCTTTCGGGTTTTATGTTCGCATCACGTGCAAATTAATAGCCACTGTCCAGCAGAGTCCAGTAACTAGAGTACAGCACATCTTCACCTGGGCAACCTTGGAAATGCAGATCTGATCTCAGCTTTTAGATGTGGCCATGTCGACTTTCGATGGCATCGTAGAAGGTGAGACTGACACTTCCCACATTACTTCCATACTAATCATCCGACAGAGTTTCCCGAAATTCGCAGTGAGTCTCACCTATGAGATCAGCCAAACTTACGACTAAGAAAAGCAGTTGACTACTTTCGGAAATGCCCAGAGCGGCCAGCGCCACTAGCTTGTTTTCTGAGCCATGTGCATAGTGATCATTTACAGGGTCTCGAGTCCTTTCGAACACCGTTTATCTACTGTTCGCCAGCCACGCGAGAGGTATGTTTTCGTTCGTTCTATTGAAATGCGAAGTGCATTAAACTAACCATGTGCAGCTGCTCCTCCGGATTGAAAAGTATCCACATCGGATGAACTTTAATAAAGGCATCTTGGAGTCACGCAGACTCCACTATAAGCATCTTGCCAAGCTTCTGGTTAGTATCGCGTTCTAAACTTTGAGAGTTGAAGAGCTCATCGTCCACAGCGCCCAATTCCATTGAATACGCCAACAGAAATTGAACTCACACCCCGACGTCGTATCAAGGTGACATTGTTTGATGCCAACCATTGCACCGGGGCTGTGATGTTTCTAATTGAAGGGAATGGGAAGGCAATCATCTACACAGGTGATATTCGAGGTGAGTTAATGACGTCTTGTCTTAGTTGAATTGCTAGCTGATCATCCTTAGCCGAAACATGGTGGGTGAGCAGCCTGGTCCGTCACCCGGTCTTGATCCCGTATACTCTGGGCCCGAAACGGCTGGATAAGTTATATCTGGACTCCACCTTTGCAAGCAAGACAAATCCATTCCGCGAGTTCCCTTCCAAAGCCGAGGGGCTGTCTGAACTCCTGCAGAAAGTCCAGGCTTATCCTGATGACACAGTCTTCTACTTCCGTGCGTGGACGTTCGGCTACGAGGATGTGTGGATAGCGCTCTCGGCTGCGCTGGACACAAAGGTGATGAATATCACGCAGCTCAAATATAACACTAGCTAATACAATGCAGATCCATGTGGATCGTTACCAGATGGGACTTTATCGGTCTCTGGTCCAGACTCCAGGCAATAGGGGGGTTAGTGAAGCTCCTGCTCTCTGTGGCTTTGAGTTGGGAAACAAAGCTGTGACCGGCTGTCTGAGCAGTAATGAGTCAAGTCGAATCCACAGTTGTGAACCCGGAGTCTCGTGCCCTGCAGCTCGCAGCACTAACACGGTCTACATTGTGCCTATTGTGAATCGCACAACCAGTGGTGCGGAAATCCCCGAGGTCGGTGCAGGCGGTGGTATTGGGGATCTGTACCAAACACATGAACTCGAGCTGCCCGATGAGTTTGCACTAGCCGAGTTGGAGAAGCTGTGTCTCAAACACGTCCAGGACAAGCAAGCCCTTACTCAAATGCGAAATGCTCTTCTAGATGCGTTTCGATCGAGGAAGAAAGTACTCTCGCTTGATACATATGGCGTGAAGGAGGAGGGCGAAATTCCATTGAAGAATCTGGTGACCGCTCTACGCAACGGTCCGTCTATTACCTCCAGCCGGTCGTCCCAGCCAGATCTGCCTAACACGATAGTAAGTCGCACTGCTGTTTTCTCTATGATAATATTCTCTAAAGGCATTATAGCGATTCCCATATTCACGACACTCTTCCTACTCTGAACTTTGTGAGCTCGTAGCTGCCTTCCGGCCCAAGGATATCCATCCATGCACTGTGGATCCAAAAACCTGGAACGAAGACGTCTCCATCAGACGTTTGTTTGGCCATCTCTGTTCCGGAGCCAATTTTTCGCACGACAATCACATGTGGCAGACTGTAGCTGATTTTGACGGCGACGGAGATCGCCCAAGAAAAAGGGTCCGTTACGACATGGACCTCTCTACACAGTCCACACAAGAAACCAGTAGTGGTATTGAAGATTTCAGTCTTGGTACCGCCGATGCAAGCCAGCATCATGATCAGAAGCAGGACTCTCTACATCATTTAAATCAATCCGAAGAAGCAGCCAGAGTTAAGCGTAACGAAATGCGTCAAGCACACCGCTATCTCCAAGAACATGCAGAGCCTGGACTCTTTCAAGTCAATCCTCTCCCATCTACATGGCCGACAGAAAAAGAAGACAGATTCGATCTGGCCAGTGACGAGGGAAGCGAAGACAAGGACATGCTCAGACCTGACCGGCCAGATTTAGAACCCTCGGCTTTAAGTCTCCGACTCAGGTCCGAACCAAGCACATCCACAAGAATAAGTGACCTAACTGGTGATGGTAATACCTCTCCTCGTCCAATCACACAACAAGCAGACAGTCAACACACAGATATACTTTCTCTCTCCGTCTCCGAGTCGGCATTTGACTCCCCGGAGCAGAACTCCATTGAAAATGGGCTACCAGACCCAGTGCGAAGAGAAGAAACACTCAATCGCTCGCGCCGTGCGCGTGTTGCTGCTTACTTAGCTGCACGTGAAGGTACTTTCTCTGCGTGGACGGATGTGTCGCTCGTTTCGGCGGATAATCATGGTGAGGAGGAGATTGAGCTGTAGGCTCGATCTTTTTTCTTCTATTGATAGGCGGGTGGATCTGTTCCTCTTTCCTCTTTTTTCTTTCTTCATTCTTTTTTGATTTTACTGTGTATGATACCCCTCTATACTACCTTGTTGTTGATCTTGTCATCTGGCATTTTGCCCATAGAACTATGTATGGACGCCTGGAAGCTGGCCCCACTGCGGGTTCTTGTTCCTTTCATAGGGATGGATCACTGTCTTACAAAAAGATTTATATTCTAAATTACTACATTACTTATTGTACATCAACCCCGCAGGCCTATACAAGCAGCAATGTTGTTCCACTATTGAGGGTCCTAGTTGACCGAAAGTTGGCTGAAACCAGACTATATTGTCGATACAAACCCTAAAGACTCGGCGAGTAGACCATCGATGTCAGTAATATCTTTCATGATCGACATTACCGCTCTCATTTTTCTAGTTTATAGAGAACAAAGAACTAAACAATGGCCTTGCGAGGCTAAAATTATAACAAATCCTTAGTGAATTTTCCATGGAACCACCGTCGCCTTGTAACCAACCTCTTTCAATATCATGGCCACTTGAACAAGGAGAACAAAGATTCCCAACAATGAGCTGTATTTCTTTCATTCATTTCTTCTTCATGAAAGCTTTGTCTCCAGTCTGATCAACCTAGCAAGATACAGATACATAAATAGGCTCCGATTCCTCAACCATTTCGAGGCATCATCCGCTTCACAGTTTCTCACACTGCCTCAGTGCAACCAACCTCCTCTACTCTACTTCCAGCTTCACAGCCCTATCAGACAGCTACTCCACTAACCCCAACCAAGTAAGTGATCCATCCCATTCATCTACTCATCTCTCCCATTCTAGCACCAGCCCTCCCTCACTATGTCTGAGTCTATCGCTACTAGATTCTTCCGCGGTACTCGAGCTATCCTCAAGTACCGCAAGGAGCGTGGTATCCTCGTGAACAACATCCGCTTCTATATCACCTCTCTGCGCCAGATGCCCGAGGGCAACTACCTTATTGAGGTCGCCCTCAACATCCACTCCCTGAAGGTTCAGGCCGACAAGGTGAAGTGGGCTTCACAGGATCTTGCCACTACCGCCGCCAATATGGCCTACGTCACCTCACAGGGTATCGAGCACTTCGCCCACACTATCCCCCAGATCTGCGACGAGGTCGGCCATGATACCCGCCAGCTGGCTGAGACCCTCCAGGACCACATCCACCAGCCCGTTGCCAACACCGAGCACCGTGTCGCACTTGGCCTCGAGCATGCACTTGCTAACCTTGGTTATATCTAGATCGATATTTCTACACCGTCGAGTCGCGGACTCTTACCGGCGTCCGCAGTAGCTTCAGCTATATCTTATTTCCAGTATCCAGGTACGTAACAATACATTCATTTACAGTAACATTTCCTTCTCCATCTAGATCTATAGCACCCCTAAGCCCCCACAATCTGTCATCTACTTGATCACTCCACGTCCAATGACACATATAAACCAATCCGTCGTGACCAGCTTCCGCAAAGCCCGCGACGACCTCGTAATCCTCCTCGGGCAGCAATCAACCTTCCTACGCCACGACATCAACAGCCGCGCCTACGTAATCCCAAACCTGCGTCTACAGCTAATCCAACACCTCGACATCGTCGCCTCTCTCTCGATGAAGATGGCCGTCGACAGCCGTCACCACCCCTACGTCCTCGTCCACCAGACCGGCTTCTACGAGACCGTTGTACCTATGCACTGCGCCGCGTTGAAGGGCCAGTGTGCCCATCTTGCAGATCGACTGCGCGATAACCTTTGCACTGATGTTCCTATTGCTGTGGCGAGGTTGATTGATCAGATTGTGGCTAACTTGTGCTTTTAGATAGGCTTGGAATTGGATTTTGGTTATTACTGGGTTTAGTATTATTATTCTGGTTTGTTTATCGTATATCGTATACCGGTTCTTTCTTTCGACATCCTTTCCTCCGACGTTATGGCTACTGTGCCTCCCCGACCCGGTCCAGTATCAACTTTTAAACGCGAGCGTGCGGCTTTCGTCTTCGATTTGGAAATGCAGGCGAGGATTCTAAGGGCGGATCCCCGGGCTAGTGAAGATGTTGCTGGCAATCTACTTTGGCTTGTTGAGAGTGTTCATCGGCTTAAGGATGCCTCTATGGCTATGGCTGTTGATGCTCGTGGCAATGCTTATGTGCTGGCGAAACCGTATGGGTTTTATAGTTACAACGTGCCGCGTATGTGCAATGATCTTGTTGCATCTTTGTTGCACTGGGCGGATATTCTTGTTAATACTGATGGGCGGAGGACGGATGGGATTGTTGTTGATTCTATTGAGGGGATGTTGGGTTCTCTGGGGTTTTGAGAGAAGAGAAATAGAAAAAATACTGTTTTCTTATTAACTTATATGCGCATCTTAGACAAGTAGATTTCAAAAATTAGACGTAAAATCATATAGAATTCCTATATCACGTAAAAATAACCCAGGAGAACCAACGAGGTATATAGGAACTGTAAAGACCAAAATGAAAAGCCGGGGGTATGCAAGAGAAAAGAAGCAACCAAACACTCAGAAGATATAATACGCCTGCGTCAAAGGCAACTCCGAAGCTGGCTCAGCATCACAAAGCATCCCATCCGCCTCCACAGTATAACTCTCCGGATCAACCTTCATCTTCGGCATAGCATCATTAAACTTCATATCCTTCTTCCCAACCGAGCGACAATCCTTCACAGCCTCAATCCGCTTCTTCAATCCATACGTCTGCACAATCCCCGCATCAATAGAAGCCTGCGAAACAAACATAATAGACGTAGCCGGAACCCGCGCAGCAAACATCGGCCGCGTGATCATCGGCTCGACAGTCGGGATCGACGCATTCGGATCTCCAACCTCCGCGGTAACAATCATCCCGCTCTTCAGAACAGATACGGGTTTCGTGCCGAATGTCGCTGCTTTCCAGATTACCAGATCGGCGACCTTGCCGACCTCCACGGACCCGATGAGGTGCGACATTCCCTGTGCGAGAGCGGGGTTGATCGTGTACTTGCTGATGTATCGCTTGACGCGGAAATTGTCCGCGCCGCTGTCGGCGTCGGTGCCGAGAGGTCCGCGCTGTGTCTTGTTCTTGTGAGCTGTGTGCCAGGTGCGGAGGATTACTTCGCCGCAGCGGCCCATTGCTTGCGAGTCCGAGGACATCATGCTGATGGCGCCGAGGTCGTGGAGGACGTCTTCGGCGGCGATGGTTTCGGCGCGAATGCGGCTTTCCGCGAAGGCTACGTCCTCGGGAATATTCTTTGATAGGTGGTGGCAGACCATTAGCATGTCGAGGTGTTCGTCGAGAGTGTTGAGGGTGAAGGGACGGGTTGGGTTTGTGCTACTGGGGAGGACGTTGGGGTGTTCGACCACGGAGATGATGTCTGGGGCGTGGCCGCCGCCTGCGCCTTCGGTGTGGTAGGTGTGGATTGTGCGGCCTTTGAAGGCTCCAATGGACTGCTCGACGAAGCCAGATTCGTTCAGTGTATCTGTGTGGATCATGCACTGCACGTCGTATTCGTCGCAGACTTCAAGACAGTTGTCGATTGCTGCTGGGGTGGAGCCCCAGTCTTCGTGGAGCTTGAGACCTGCTGCGCCTGCTAGGATCTGCTCCCTGAGACTCTTCTTTCCGCAGTCGTTGCCCTTACCCGTGATGCCTAGGTTGATCGGTAGGCTGTCGCATGCTTGCATCATCTGGCGCAAGAGGTTCGGCGACGGGGTACATGTCGTCGCGTTTGATCCAGTCGTCGGGCCAGTGCCACCACCGAGGAAAGTGGTGATTCCCGAAGCCAGAGCTTCATCCACTTGTTGCGGGCAGATCAAGTGGATGTGCGTGTCGATACCACCAGCGGTAACAATCTTGTTCTCTCCAGCAATGACATCCGTAGACGAACCCACCACCAGATCAGGATGCACGCCGTCCATGACATCAGGGTTTCCAGCTTTGCCAATACCAGCAATAAGCCCATCCTTGATACCAATATCAGCCTTGTAAATACCAGTCCAATCGATAATCAACGCATTCGTGATGACAGTATCAATACACTCGGTATGAGACCGATCAGACGCCTGTCCCATTCCCTCGCGCAGAGTCTTTCCTCCACCGAAAGCACATTCATCTCCGTAATTCGTCATATCCTTCTCAACCTTGATCCACAAATCCGTCAACCCGAGCCGCACTAGATCCCCCGTCGTAGGACCAAACATGCGCGAGTACGCCTCGCGCTCCATCGAGAACCCAGAAATAAGCGCGCTATCCGCCTGCGGCTCCGGCACATGCGCAAATCCAGCTACCTGCAGCTTGGACATGATCTCATCGGCACGACTCAGATCCACCGGCCCATTCGCCAGCCAATTTCCGCCACGGATGACGCGATTTCCGCCGATCTCAACTAGCGTGACCGTCTTCGTATCACCGGGCTCGAATCTGATCGATGTGCCCGCGGGAATGTCCAATCGGAAACCGTACGACTGCAAGCGATCGAAGTGCAGCTGCGGATTCGTCTCGATAAAATGGTAATGCGATCCGACCTGACAATCAAACCCGTCATTAGCATCGCTCGCTTCCGATCTCCATTTTTTGTCCTTTCCGCTCTGTCTAACGAAGACAATGTACACACCTGAATCGGCCGATCTCCTTTACTCATAACCTTGAGCCTAATCCGCCTCTTCCCAACACTCAACTCCACACGCGCGTGCTTAGCAGGAATTACCGCGCCGGGCATCTTCTCAGGCAAGAAATCTTGCGGGTCCGGGTCTGGGAAAGCCTCGGGCGCGGGAACGGGCAGGAAACTTCCATACAAGGCGCGCTCGAGATCGCCCTCGTCGCTACTGATCGGGTGGTGCACGGTCACCAGGTAAGTACCGGAGATGAAAGTACCCTCGACTTGGAGCTCGACGAGGGTTGCTAGGACGGAGGGGAGGACATGGCGGCGGCCGAGCATTGTCTTGCCGATGGACATAAGATCGGCGACGGAGTAGTGACCATCGCGGATTAACTGCGGGGGTTTGGGGTGTTAGTTTGCGCATTTAATCAATTGGATATATGGTAATTGGTATGTGCTGATGCGATTGTAGGGGATTGATTGGGTGGGGTTGTCGTACCTCGTGCAGCACTGAAGCTATCAGGGCCTGTTCGGGGAAGCGTTAGTGGTCAGTGGCCGTGTCCTACACCCCTCGAATATACACATACCACTGCTTCTGCATGGTTGAGCCGCACTCCACGTGCTAAACGACGCTGTGCCAAGAAGCCTAAGTGGGCGATGGTAAGCTTGTCAAGCTGCAGGGGTGTGTTAGTTGTCTGTGTCTCTCGGGGAATGGTATGTGTGACTTACCTCCTTCGGAATAAGCTGCATGGTTCATGTGGAACCAGAACCTGGTAGTTCTTGGCGTGCAGGATTATTGGTTTTGGAGGCAGTTTCAGAGCAGGTTTAAAAGCTCAGAGTAAGTTAAGGTGTAAAAGACACAATTCAAGGAGATCTCAAAGAAAGTCAAAAAGGCGAAGAATGTGGGGATGCGGTCCATTTCAAATGTGCTTGCTCCTCTGATAAGGTCATTGTCGATGATAAGTGCCCGTGGAGGCCGATTGGGTCGGGGAACGGAGTTCGGCGGCATTAGTCAAGGCTTTGGTAAATTGATAATGCACTTGTCAAGTTGGATTTAAGCCTAGACTGTCAGTTTTTAATTTGGTTATATTCTTTATGTTAATGTCTATAGCTCGATGTTGTATAGCTCTCTAGTAGGAAAGTTGGACCTGCGTCTTTATCCTGGAACTATACGACTTGTACAATATAGAGGGGTAACTATATAGCCCTAACCTGCTATGGACACTGATACTCAGGATATCTCAAAACCACATCCCATGATCAGTCCAATTCACTAATTCAAGCTAAGTAGGTACAGTTTTTCCCCAAACGCCGCTGAAAAACGCAAACCGGGGGGGTTACACATCCAGTCCACCAGACCGAGACTATCTCATCTGACCCTAAAGTCAAGCAAATCAGAGATCAGAAAGCAGAAAGCACTAACAAACTCATTTACGCCTCGCTCTTGCGCTTCTTGCTTCTGCGACCCTTCTCGGCCGGTGTCTTGACAGCCGGTGTGGACACCGGCTCCGCAGCCTTACGGCCCCGCTTGACAGGCGACTTGGCAGGAGTCTCAGCCTCCTTAGCCTTGGTATCGCTGCGGCGACGCTTGGTGGTGCTGCGAGGGGGGGTCTTTTCCTTCACAGGGGAGGGAGAGTGCGACTCCTCGGACGATTCAGTCGACTCATCAGCAGACTCTTCGGGCTCAGCTTCAGCCTCGGCCTCGGCCTCAACCTCGGGCTCGGCACCGGCAAAGTCCTGCTGCAGTTGGCTGGCGGCGGGATCGTGCTCGTGGTCGTGCTCCTCGTCAATCTTGCTGCCGGCCTTGTAGGCTGCCATGTCGCGCTTGTACTGGTCATAGTTGGCGGCATACATCTTCTTCCAGACCTGTGTGGATGCGTTAGTTCTACATACTTGCAAACAATATCAAGCTGGGAGTGCTTTGATGCTAATACATACCTCCTTCTGAGTATCTTCCATGCTCTGCCAGCGGCGGGTGCCCTCGTCGGCGACATCCTTGGGGCGCGCATCATTGCCCAAGTCATCGGCAATCTTGCTGCGGTTGTGCTGCATGTACAGGAAGTAGGGAGTCAAGGCACGCTTGGGCGCATTGGGGTCGACGGGAGCGCGCTTGCGCTTCTTAGGACCACCAGCCTCGGACTTGGCGCCGGGGCTACCAGCGCGGAAGGGGATGTCCGGGCCCATGAATCCAGAGGGACCGAGAGGGAGCTCAATGGTGGCATCGCGTCCTTCGGTGATGTTGTTCACGTGCTGGATGTAAGCCTTGCCTAGGTCGGCGATGTAAGACTGCACCTCCATCAGGCGCATGACGATCTATGAGGCATTGTTAGCGATTTTATTTCAGGAGTAACTGCACTTGGTCATTGGGTATAGGTATGGGTATAATGTTAGGGAATTAAGAGGGACAGTCAAGCAGCGCGTAAGTTGGTAAGAAGTGTGCGATGTCAAGACAAGCCCTCAGGTCTAAAGGGGGAAAGGGTGGGGAATGTTCTTTTTTTTTTGCAGATGAAGCTTGCCAACATGATACAGAAGTATAAGATGGTATACGTTAAGCTTTAACAGCTTATTGGGTAGCTTTATAGATCCTTGAACGCGACGCGTAGCAGGCGCGCAGTGGGGATGCGCACAAGAAAACAAGAAAAAAAAGAACCGAAACAAAGAAAATGCAAAATTCTGAAGGTAAAAGATGAAAGGGGGGGAATTACCAAGTCGCCAGCCCGTCTA